GCAACTTACCCCGGGGTCCAACTAGCCCCGGTCTCCCCTATATAATCCAATACGAGCTTGGGTGTACACACACTGTTTATGCATGTATGCTTATTCGTTTCAATTATTTCTCTTCTGGATATGAAACGGCAGTCCGTTAGTTGTGCAATAACACATTCATGTGAAAATTTCCCTTGAATTAAAGCATCCTTTCCGTTACATTGTGTTATGGGTGTACTTGATTGCGAGATATGCGATTTTCAAAATTGAAAATGTAATTGTATGTACCTGTACTTGATCTCAGTATGTAGAACATACATGTTCATAGAAGTACCCAGGAACAAAGAAATTTGAAAAATTATATTTACCTTTTCTACACGTGTTATATAAGAATATGTTAAATCAAGGAGTTATAACAGATGTAATAACTCCTTGCTTAAATCATTTAACATAAATTGTTGTTACAATGTGGCAGTCAAGGCAAAGAAATGGATTTATTGATATGGAAGAATTCTCTATCATGTATATACAGTGTATGGGGACTTGATATCATTTAATTCACTGTATCTTAATCTTACGCAAACCCATTATTCATTACATGGATACATTTATACCTCTCTCCCAGACATCTTGAAGATATCAAGAAACTTCTACCGGAGAATACAGAGACATCTATTGCCAATTATGCCGTGAACCCCGTTGGAGCTTACAGTACCATCAAACGTTTTGCAGTTACCTGGACACATTTCTTTGCCCAGATATCGGATCTCAAACACGCAAACAACACCGCTCTAAGGGGTAAGCCGCCCTATAGCTTAGTTGCTACCTCAAGATTTATATTTGTCTGATCAAAGATATTTTTGCTCACAAACAATAGATACATGTGTCATCAATAGCATCAAACAGCATGTATTCATTCCACCAATCCAACTTACAAAGAAAACACTTGACGATAATCAATTATATAATAAGTTTGACAAACGCACAAATGACAAATACGTTTAATTGACATCGGGGAAAAACGTCAATGACTGTGTCACAACAAAACTCATTTTTACATTAAGGGTTAGCCACCGACATCGTATCACTTGGCCTGTCCCACCACATTTGGCCACAAGTTGTTGACTTGAACGGAGCTGTTGCAGCTTTGGTAAGGTTGCAGAAGATGTATCAAATACCAGTGAAGGAGCTCGCCGACGGTAACATCCGGGGTATGAAGGTCTCAAGACTGGGCCCAGACGACTGTTTGCGCTTAGGTCGAGCGATGCTCCATTCGGACTACAGTAGCTCTAGTGCAGCGTTAGCTATCCAGTGGATGGAAGAAGCAATACGGATGCACGAGCAGAGACACTCGGCCAACGGAGAGCAAAGTTTAGGGGACCGATCATTTCAAATCGAAGAGGCATATAGTGCGTTGGCTGACGCACATGCACAAGTATGTTACTGTTAGGTTGCTTTCAAAGTAGTTTCAGCATGAACAGAAGTACCACAATTGTCGCGGTATTTGGCACTAAGACCTTGTTGTAAAACATAGAACACCGATGATATCCACATATCGTAATACTGAGATAGATTCTAATTAAATTTGATTAATTGATAAAATTACAAACTAAGACATCTGGCAGTTTTGTTTGGAAGTGGTTCGTCTTTTTCAGCTTGGAAACGTTACTGCTGCTGCCAATTTTGCTATGAAAGCTTTTGTTAAAGGTAGGTGAGTAATGCTTCATGAAAAATCTAGATTGTGAACTTCTTTACATTTTTTTTTACTAAATACTGAGCGTATACCCCTCTTTGCTTTTTTGTTATGATTACTCTGTAACCACACCCCAGTTAGTAAGTATATTAACATGAAATTCACACCATAGAGGTAAACAAAATGAAATGGGAAAAACTGCCAAAATAATTTGAGAGATAATTTGAGTCTGGGGCGTAAGTTAAGTTTTATTTTAACTAGACCCAGAAAACAGTTCTTTAAAGGAAAAGTTCCTGAAATATGAGGACATGTCGAGCGGCTCACACAGTCAAAAAAAGATATCCAGACGTAATACAACGGATTCAATGTACGAACGTCTGTGCCGTGGAGATCAGTGGAAAGTAAGTATGCATTGCCTTTTTACCTCCTATTATCTCCACTTCAGTCACTGAATTTTCTTTAAAAAAGATCATTTGTATTTATATAAAAATGATTCGGGTTAAAAGAGAGGGGTCATCATATTGGATGTTCTCGTCGTTATAGTACATATAGTTATTCCTCACTTATTAATTTTATTCTTAGGACCCAAAGATCGAAGCCCGACTCTTCTGTCAGTACAAGAACACCCTGGTTCCTATTCGACCAGTAAAAGAGGAAGTTCTGTACCTGGACCCCAGGGTGAGCATTTTCTATGACGTCATCACGGATAAAGAGGCGGCTATTCTGTTGGAGCTGGCAAAATCCAAGGTAGGTTATAGATCAGCGCTAAAAACGTTTGTTCCTTGATGGTGGAAATAATTTAGGCGCCAATGTCCTTTTGGTATTTAGATTTGTAACGTTGTCTGCCGGGTGTCTTGTACGTTGAAAATCCAGATACATTTATAACTTAAACACGACAATTTAAAAACGTAGTAAAAATCGCATCAGCGTTCATGCACAAAGGTAACAATTTAAAGATTATTTTCACAGATGATACGGGCCCCACTTGGAGATGTCGCAGGAGAAAAGACGTCGGAGCAAAGGATTGGCAAATTGTAAATACAATCGAAGCTTTAAGGTTTGAAGGGTCAATAGAATTCTAATGCAACAGACTGTATTTCTTCAACCCTTCCAGAGTACAGATGTTCGTTAGCAGTGGGTTTTTGTTTCGGTACTTTGGTTCCACGCCGCAATTTTCGCAGGTTCCCTCATTATAAAAGCACAATGACTTGAAAAAAAATCTCCTTTTTCACTATTAGACAGGTTTTGAAAACTAGAAAGTACTTGTTTGTTTACCTAAGATGGGCTATAAAGTTATCACTTTTTCTTATACTTTTTTTTTAAACTGAGGCTGCATTCAACAGGTGAACTAACTAGTCCGCGGGTCAAATATGGCGACCCACTAAAAAGTTGCCGTCTAATCTGCTAACAGACACTGAATAAATTCCCCGTGGGTAAGTATTCAAGTGGGTCGCCCGTATTTGACCCGCGGACTAGTTAGTCCACTGTTTAAATGTCATATTCTGGTTATAGGACCTGGCTATGGGATGCGGATGTGAATACAACGGTTGCTCATTTAAGTAAGAGGGTTGAAGAGATAACTGGTCTCAGTACCGTCATCAGAGATAAGCTGGCTGACGCGGAGGCTTGGCAGGTGGGTGTTTTAACATTTTCTTATTTAAATATAAGACGTTGTATTGACCAGTCAGTCAGTCAGACAACCAGGCAGACAGACAGACAGACAGGTAGATTGACACACCTATCTCCCGGTCACTCTGGTTATCGTTTGGCTAGGTTTGTCGTTCAAACTCTTTCATGTTGATTCCATCCTTTTTCCATCAGATCGCAACCTATGGCATCGGCGGGATGTTTGAACCACACCACGATTTTTATGTGGACGAGGGTTGGCTGAACCAACTCCCATCTCATCTGCTGAACACTGGGCGTCGGATTGCCACTTTTGTCTTTTACGTAAGCAGTATAATTAAGTTTTTCATTTGATATTTCCATTTCTCTTATGTAAATTTTGAAGTGACTGTAGGGTGAATGCGGATTCATCATGGCACACAGAAACTACGTTTTCTTTTATTTGGCTGAAAATATTGGTGATTTGAATCGTGCAAAGCATGCACCGCAATGGCTTTAGGTTTTAGGTTATTCAACTACACGTAGCTTTAAAAATGATTTTTGCTATACGGAAAATACTGTCAAAGTAATATCAAATTTCCCTCTCTGCAATAATATATTTTTTCTCACTTCAGCTGACGGATGTCCAGCTAGGTGGAGCCACCGTGTTTCCTGAGATCAATGTCCGCGTACCACCAGTGAAGGTATTCATCTTAACCAATATTTGTGAATGTCAGTTATATACTATATACCTGTATGACGTGTGCCCTCATGTAGAATTGAGTCACTTTACATCGTCATATTAAATGGATGCAGAAACGGCTTTCCAAATATGTAACAGAATATTATGCGTAATGCTGATATGGTAATGAAAGTTGGAACAATTAATACATGCGCAAGCTTACTACAAGTTTCTCTTTTAAAGACATCAGTTTAACAAAAAATCTACATTTTGAGCGCAAGTTTTTTAAAGGTATTTATCTGCTGTCATAAATATATAAAGTCGAATATAAAGGATAATTTCAAAACCTTCCTACATGAAACATTTTATACCTAAATGTGTATCACGGTTACAGAAAGAAGAATTGTAAGTGTTCAAAAACTATTTGCAGAACGCAGCCGCCTTCTGGTACAATCTTAAAAGAAGCGGAGACATGTACCACGCCAGCATGCACGCAGGGTGCCCAGTTCTTTACGGACAGAAATGGAGTAAGTTGACCTTGGAGTGGTATTCAAAAGCTATTCTCGCTTGTTGAAGCTTACTTTTTTAATACTCTACGAATTTTGCCCATTCTTACAGGTATATACAGAAAACGAATGTGTTTATTCTGATCTCTGTATCTGTCCATGTCTCGTCGTCGTTGTCGCCGTCTGAAACGGCTGTTTCTATGTCTTCCAAACCATATTTTGGTCTTGCTTTAAATTTACTGAAAAATTTACTATAAAAAAGGTTTATTTTGAAAATAAGCCTACATGTAATATTTTTTTATCAAAAATATTACTTTTTTCTATGTATTTTTGGCGACATTCTCCTCATGAGTGCCATTTTTATTTCAAATTTGTTGTAAAAAAAATACTCCCTACCGACAGTGAAATAAGCATTAGATAAACTATTTTTCCATTCGTGCTCCAAATATTATACCCGAAATGTCAAACTATCATGGAATCACAATATATATTTCAGTCAGCAACAGAAAACACTGCTTTTTGGACAAAATGATACCTTAATTTCTGACAATTTTTCTGGGGAACATGCGTTACCTAGTATTAGCCATGACGCAAAGCCCCTTGAGTTACAGTTTAAATATTTATAAAAACATCTTTACGTTATTAATATTTACCATGACTGAATCACTACAAAATTTATCGGAACGCGGTATAAAAATTAAATTTAAATGACCCCGAACTATACGTTACTGGAACATACGTTGCCATCTAGGGCTCTACATAATGTATAGACATGATAACAATTAAAAATTAAATTAAAACTGAGACAGTCGTGGATTTTTGTTCTATACACATATATGTTTTAAATAATTGAAAACAACTTTATTCAATTTTATTTTTTGCACACTTCAGCATGTGAACTGCACCTCTATATTGGGTTTGGATGCCATACGTTCCAAATCGTTTTGTTTTGTATTTTCCTAAGAGGCATTGTTTATTAAAAAGTTTATTTTGTAAATATTGTTTTCATGTTGATTGTACTTTGATGGCTGTATATTTGCAAATTTTGCTGTCCTATTTCTATGGCCAGCGTAATCGGGGTTTTCATGTACATAAGCATTCAATAATTAATGCAGTGTACGATTTTAACATTATGGACACTCAGGAACTCTACTGGAAGGCAGCGTGATATACACTGTTGCTTCTATCATCTAGAAAATAGATCCTGCAGAGCCCTGGAACCAACAGCCAAGAAAATTCCTTTGTCGTCATGGCAACTTGACGAGGTCATTTCAATCAAAACGATTGTCATATTTGGACATCATACATGTATCATTATAGGCATCTTAAAGACCATATTTTCCCACATCTAAAATGTGTGTTTTCGACCAAAACTCGATGCTTTTTGAGAAGCTCTCTTAACAAAATCTGATTGACGTATCAAAATCTGATTGACGTATTGTGCTTGCTGGGAGGAGACCAGCTTTAAGCATATACCATATGCACCAACGATTATAGCTTATATTGTATCCGTTTAAAATGCAGAACTTATTACATTTTCCTGAAACCTTTTCTAATCCTTTTTTTTTTAATATTCTTAAAACACTGTCTTTGTGATCTTTACAGTTGCCAACAAATGGACACGGGAGAGGGGGCAGATATTTCGTAGGCGATGCGGTCTTAGTCCACGTGCCACGGACGAGTAATGTCGAGTGACTTTTTCAGTGTTAGGGATTTAGGATCAGGGTCTTTTCAGAAATGGATGTTGTAAATCACATGACAAAGTGCAATCAGGTTACCTGAATAACACGTCTCTTTCTGGTGTTGAGTAAAACACAGAAAAGTTGGTGATTAGAAGAGTACGTTCGAAACAAGAGGAGGCGTGTCATTCATTTAAGCTGATTGCACTCAGCGAAAGTCCCCGCAGAGTTGGATCGATTTACTTAGACCAATGGTGTCTATAGGAATGGGGTCTTAGAGGCCATTGTCACTTCTTACAAATTAAAACCTTGTTGCCTTTGTCTGCTTAGTTATCCAGTTAAAGAAATCGGTAGGGGAGAGGTAAATAGCGTGCAACTGCGTTACAGTTATTTAAAATTTTGGGCGTTTGAAGCTCCGATAATTTAAATAAATATTCTTAATTTGTCTGCAAAGAACCAAGAATTAATTAAATAATGATTATTAAAACATAGTCCACAAACTTGTTTTTCAATTTGTGTAATGACAGTCTTCAACGGATAGTATTTTATAAATGTTATACTTGTACATTGAACAACAATAATATATATATATATATATATATATATATATATATATAAAGCTTTATATATATATAAAGCTTTTACCCACTCTCTCTATTTCTTTAGCTATTTTCTGCACATAATAGGACTATACACGAGATGAAACGCATGAAATACGTGTATGTCAAATTATTTCCTATTAAGAATTATTGAAGCCAATTAAGATACATCTACTACATCTTTAACACAATTAAATCAAGGAGTTTCAACAGACAGTTGAAACTCCTTGATTACATATAGGCTGATTTTGACCATAATTGCCATAATTAAAGTTTCTCAATCTTATTATAATTAGTTTTTACAAATAACGTAGATTTTAATAGGGCAAAGCATGTTAAGTGTACACTGATTTTCCACGTGGCCCCCCTTTGATGGATTACAATAAAATAATGTTTTAACAACAAAATTAAAATTTTATGAAAAAAATACAATTTTCGATTCTAAAACATGATGTGACATACATTAGAGATTTAGATTATATGATTACAATTCAGACGCTGGAATAATTCTACCAAACTTTTTAAAAATAAAACGTTTCTGAATTGATATTTGTTCACTATCATAATATTGTGACGAGCAATTTCTTAATCACTGTTGTCAGCGGGATACAAATGAAGTGCGTTGCTGTGGCTATAAGAGGATTGTCCTCAGATTTGTCTCATGACACAGACGTAGCTGTTATTAACGTGGGATTAAAGCTTGTTTACCATTTCAAGCAATTGCTAACAGACTAGACTGAGTAACGAAACATGAATGTTCTTGTATCTTATCCATATAATTTGTTGGCTGAAACTCCTGTTCCAAAATATAATGATAATAATAATAATAATAATAATTTATTCAGTTTCAAGCGTTACAATTAAATATTGTTCGCTGTCTAACTACTTCTGACACTACTCTATTATGCTTACATCAAAAATATAAATAAAGGATAAAATATAAAATGTGTATCAAAGCTAAAAGTTTATTAATGCGATGGGTGGTTATTCATTGTGCTGCCAACTGAATATATTGCGATGTTGTCTTAAGCGATTTATGATCTTGAAGGTTGAGGAGGATAAATAGTTCCTGATCACTGCCTGCTAATTCATAATTTTGTCTCTCAGTATTTGGGAGGGAATTAAGCATGCTTTGTCGCTGTTTGGTACCTGCTGCAAGCGAGGAAGAAATGGTTCTCGTCCTCTATTACTGTTTCACAAGTTCTTTCTTCCAGAGGGATTTTTATGTGCCTGCCTTTCTCTATCGCCAGCTCATGGCCACTTATTCTCATTTTGGCAATGTATTTTTTTGTCTGAGCTTGTGGCACTATTTTTTAAGTATTTTTCGAGATCGTATGAGTCTTTTTAGCATTAATAATATACTGTGTCAAGACTTAAGAAAAGAAAGTCTCACCAAAATGAGTTTTTGGCCTGTTCTTCAACAATCACTACAAAATATCAAATATTTATCACAACTGGCTAACTATAGTTACGATTGCCATTAGCCGTGAACCCTTCCAAATTTGACAAGCGCTAAATAAGTAAACTAATACTTGTTTAAAGAAAATTTATAAGTTACATAAGGAATTTTTCCGACTTAAATCGCCCACAAAATCAATTAGCAAAGCTGGACAATTCAGCCATGGCCAGAAAGTCCATCTTCGCACCTTTTGCTGAATTAAGCGGCCAATGTTAGGTCAACCCTTTACATATTGCACTTTCATGATGTAGTACAGGTTGCCCAAGAAATTAGAAAATAATATATAAGGGTCTCAGCGTCAAAGTTCATGTTCACTTGCAAACTTATTTAGTCTTGAAATTGTTTATGTTGTGTATCTCGATATGATATACATAGGTAACATAATGTTTCTTGAATTCCTGGAACAGTAGTTATTTATGAAAATACTAATAAATAGTATGTGTATTTTTAAAGATGATATTTAATGTATGTATTTATGAAATATAGAAGAATAAAAAAATATCAGTATACTATTTGATCAGGGATGTCTTCTGGTCATTCGACAAGAAATGTCACGTCATTGACGCACGTACACTCTGTCTTATTTGCACATATCCCTTTTTTAATTACTGTTGATTTCTTTCCATATTGGAGGGTACAAAAACAAAGAAAAGGCAATAATGGGGCAGATCAGAATTATGCAAATATTACACAAAATGTGGGTAATTGAAGTGACACTTTTTGTGGAATAACCCCTTCTAGATATGTCTTGTTATTCTAATTTACTTTTTTTGTGGAATGCGAGTCTCTGTCCATTGGAAAAAGAGCATTCTTTTAATAGTCGTGTACGAACTTTTAGGAAGTGGGCAGCTACACCAAATTTGAGTGCAGTGTTTAATACATGAATGAATTAATTAACAGAATATACAGGTACACAGAAACACATAAAACTTCAGTGTAAGGGTACCCGGGGCAGTTCTGTTTATTATTAATATTTCCTGTGCTATAGGATACAACATAAACCCATTAACATTTTATGGCCGTCGCTCATGAATAATCGTCCACGTATATTTTGTTACGAACCGTAGCGGCGTGGATCACTCCTTGTTCTCTTTATCAAACTATTGCAAACATTTTACTTTGTCAGCTGTAGAATCTTATTTATGACTGATTGATCTAAACATTCATGGTCGGTTCAATCAGCACATTGACAAGGTATCCCAACACAGACTGTGCATGATTCAGTGAGAGAAGTCTCCTGTGAGTATCCGGTCACAAAAATGCTGGGTTCGACCTGCAAGCGCCACGGCCTGAGATATACACTACATTACTTTGTATGTCTGATAGGGACCCTTGTCGTGCGAGCAGAGGTGTATACGTCCACGGCGGAGCTCGAGCTACTTCTGGACAAAGAAAAACATCTTTTTGACTTAGTAGGAAATTTTCTTTCGAATCAACTAAAGCGCTTAAATGAGTTGCAATCGTAAGTATAGAAACACAATATCATTTGAAATATTTACAAATAACAACAGTCCTAGGTCTGCTTTAGACTGCATTCCCATAGATTTAGATCGATCCATCTAGATCGACCTAACTCCCTGGGGGTTCACGCTAAATTGCTGTCAGCCGAGCGTGCACGGTAGTTAATTACCCCCTTACAGCTTTTAGTAGGCGGGACAGACATTTAAGCCGGCTGAGACTCTCCACAGGGATAGATCGATCTCAAATCTGTGGGAATGGGGTCTTAGAGTAACCTTATATTTATAAGACGGATGTTAATCAAAACCAAGCTAAATTGCATTCAGTGTAATCGGCTTTAATGCCTGACGTGCCTACTTAAACTGTTGGAGGGTAATTAACGATAGTCAAGCCGCTTGGAAGCGTGCCAGACAATTACGCTGATTACACTTTAGCCAGAGACTCCGCAGAGTAAGATCGATCCAGCTAGAAAGATGAGTTTATGGGAACACAGCCCAAAGATAGCTCCGAGGCATGCAAATACAATTGTTGTATTTATACAGCAGTAAAACCGACGCATAATCGTATAATAGAATGCGCAATCTGAATCCGTCGTGTTGAAATTGTCGTCTACTGAAACACTGTCTTCCATTTTGATATAATTCCCACTATAAACCAGACTTTATGTAACCTGTATCTGCAACAGAAAACAAAGGACATGACCAACCATATTTACATTGTCTGTCAAATCTTTATAATTTGAATTGCTTACTTAAAGTTACTAACATGTACGTCGGTATATATATAAATATGATATTGGTACTCTTGAACTGGGGGACATGTGCTTCAACACTTTAACTGTGGTAGTGGGAAACCTTAAACTGTGTTACTGGTACACTTAAGGCCCCTATATATGGCAATTAGACAGGTGAAACTGAGACTGGTACTGGGACACGTTTTACGTGGCAACCTGAAAAAAGTTATGGAAGTATACAAATATTTTCTTCAGGGACCTCCTGCATATGAAGGGAACACTATCAGACAGCACAGCGTCCTCTACCTTGGGGTACGCTGAGAACCCAGTTGGGGCGTACCACACCATCAAACGCTTTGCGGTAACATGGAAGAAATTATTCGAAAAATTGTCGAAGTTGAAACCTGCATACGATGTTGAAATTCAGGGTAGGATTTTTCATTTACCTGAAAAAATTACAAAATAGATGTGCCTGAAAATATAACAAAGTTTTGCTATTAATTCACACTTTTTTTGCAATTTATCCTTAAGAAAATGCAGATTTTCAAAAAAGCTGAACAAAACTTTTTCCTATAATCTGTACAAAACGTAGATAATTTAAATAACACACAAACAAATGGCGACTCACCTTTAATTTAGCATTCGTTTACTAAATGTTATTTAATCAATCTACATGCTTTTCCTTTAAACATTTATCCAATTATCTTTGTGAGTATCATCCTTGGATTTATTTTACAAATCACATATAATGAATACAATTATATTTCATTTGCCACACTTGTAAGTATCATTATATTGTAAGTATTATTATATTATCATAATGTTTTTAAAACTTTACATGGCAGCCCCCTACTGGAGTGAATCACACTATTGTTCATGGCGAAGTGTTACTTCCGCGTAAATTATATTTGGTATAGTTTAATTGCAATGCTCTTTGATATTCAGAATTTTGAAAACATGAAGTATACGCCTGATCATTTGTTGGGGCACTGATACCATTTATTTTTTAATTTCGAGAATACACTAGCACATTATGTGCCCATACGATAATATTCTGATAATTTAATCAGGTATTTATTCTTTCACCCAGAGTTATCCAAAAGTACCTTAAGTTTGGGTTTCCAGCGCGTTTGGCCACAAGATGCTGATCTAGAAGGCGCCGCAGTGGCTTTACTACGGTTACAGCAGATGTATAAATTACCAGTCAAAGAGTTCGCCCAGGGAAACGTATCGGGTGTGAGAACGTCGGAACTAGGGGCCGCAGACTGTTTTTATATTGGTCAAATTGCGTTCCATTCTGATGATAATTTGCCTCTAGCAGTTAACTGGATCGAGGAATCTTTGAAAATCCAAGAATCAAAGGGAGAGCCTCTTTGGGAGCACCTACAGTCGGCGTATACCATTTTGGCTGAGGCTTATGAAGAGGTCTGTTCTTCTGTTCTCACAGGCAGTTTTTTAAAGATTAAAAACCCAGAACGAAATATTCGAGGAATGTTTTTATTATCAAATCTTAATATATCAGCGGTATTTGAAAGGAAATGTGAAGGAATATTTTTGTCTTTATTGCTCCCCCACCCCTATGACATTACAATTCTTCCTGAAATAAATATTATTTCAATACCCAAAATTGCTTTTTGACAGATTTAAATGTCACATGGCCGATTATTAAATCTCATATGTTTTCAGCTTGGGAACACGAAGGTCGCCGCTGAGTATGCCCATAAAGCCTCTAAAAATGGTATATATACAGACATTAGAAACATTATGGATTTCCCTCGAGTCTGCTTGATCTCAGTCGAATTTTACTTCTATAGCTTCTCTTTACAAAATATGCTATATCTTCATGTATTGAGAAATCAATATTGTTTCAACTCCAACTCTGTACAGTTAGTTTCTGCATGTTTTTTTTTACTGGAGCATAGTAAACTCGTGAAAATTCGTGTAGTACAATGATGCATGCATCATGTTTTTTGTTACAAAAGTGTGTGTTTTTCTCGCTATTTTTTTTATCCCTAGCCGACAAAGAATACAAAAAAGAAAACGCGGGTTTTCTTACAAGAGATGGATATCTGACAGAACTACCGGTTCCATTGACGCAAGGGTTCACGTCTAATGCTGGAATGTATGAGCGTCTGTGTCGCGGCGAAAACGTGCAGGTAAGGCCTATTTTCATTTCAGATTTCAGTTTTTTTATATTTACATAGACATATATTTACATCCAGGCATAAGATACGGGTGTTAAATATACATGTATATTGCATCAAAATGGCTTCACACAGCATGTGAAAAAGTCTTTTTAAAAATGCCCCCCCTCTCTGCCCCCCCCCCAAAAAAAATTATATATTCTAGCTGGTTCTAAATTATATTATATTATTTATCAAAATGAAATTAGCCGGGACCCGCATGAAGTATCTGCCTACAGACACAATCTGTTTGTACATAAAAATATTGCAGCAGGCCACTACATATTGTATGTGATCTGGCCATAAGGTATAGTGCTGGTGATTGTGAATATTAATGATATTATAGGTTGTTTCTATCCATTTTTCCATCTCATCATGGGTTCCCTAGTTATTAAATGGTGATAATTTGAAAAAACAAACAAACAAACAAATTTTGAACGTGAAAATTAATGAAATTGCAAAACCTTTGCACTGAATATATTTCTGATCTGTTGCTTAGAGGGGTGAGTGTATATGCGATTGTCCTCTTCGCTCCTCGTGGATAAGATGCATATGTAATTAAGAGTTCGAGCCAACGCTAGACCCTTACTGAACACTATCATGTATTTTGTCTGATGTGTTGACGCGAATAAAACATATTTATTTTCTTTTCAAAATCATGAAGATCAGTTCAAAATAATGTAATTCTACGTGATCTGTCATGATTTTGTCTCAACTTGTCCAGAGTTCGGTGACGTGTCGAAATGGGCGGAGTCTATTGGCGTGTCAGTTGGTTGTTGGTGTAAAAAGCGGAGGAAATTTCTGACGACTAGAACCGCCACACGCTTGGTGACAACTGTACATAATTCTGTCATTGATAGGAAAGTAGATACAGTGCTTGTACACGCACAACTGTAGTTGCCGTCATTTCTGTGGAAGCAATTTGTTTAAATTATCTGTCTCGTTGGAAATATTTGCAGTCAAAAGATTTCTCATTTGCACACCGTGATGGCCACAGATAGCCGAGAAGAGTTTGGGATGAATGTGTCGGTAAAGTTGAGGGCAATTGCTAATGACACCAATGTAGAGCACTTTTCCTGCGCAAGTCTTAATTGCTTGCCTTTTATTGTTTTCGATGCTATATTGGCCGTTTTTGTCATGGTGGCTAATGGTTTCGTGATATTTGCGTTTGGAAAATATAAAGAACTTAGAGATAAGACATTTTTTGGAATTGCCAGCCTTGCCGTAGTCGGTTTTCTCACTGGCAGTGTTTGCATTCCGCTCAATCTAGTTGCAGCCTATATGACAGAGGAAGGATCAGACTCACAATATCTTTCTACCAACAAGTATTTTTGTCTACTAAAAATATACATTAACATGATCGTTGTGCAGATTTCTATTATGCACCAGTTGTTTATTGCCACTGAAAGATTCTTGAAAATATGTCGGCATGTGAAATATGTAACAGTGATAACAGAAAAGAAGATCATTACAGCAATTGCTTTCTCGTGGCTTTATCCGATGGGCCTTTGTCTCCCACCACTTTTTGGTTGGAATACGTGGTCTCCGGGTGTGGAATGTACGGCCCGTTATGTCGAACAGGAATTCTTGACAAAATTGGTCGTCCCACATTTCCCCGTTTTAATTATAATACCATTTGGTTTTTATGGTGCAATTCTTCGGCGCGTTAGACGTCAGAAGATGGCAGTTAATGCGCTTAATACGAACACAAATAAACAGCAGTGCAATGACATCTAACAGGAGAAGTTGGATAATCGGCTGATCATAAAAAATGACATGAATAAATCCTTGGACGAAGCACAGCCGTCAACATCGAAGGAATCTTTTCCTTTAAACAAACCGAATTTGGTTTTCTTTAAAAACCCAACATTCATAGAATCATTAGAGGAAGTGCCACCACCAGAGATTAAATTAAAGGGGAAAGGAAAAGGACCTGGGAAGTGCTCGAATCCGGCTCCTAAAGTGGTCCTGCCTTCTCCACCTAGATCCAATGATCCAGATAGATCGGAACAACTCCAGAACAAGAAACAAACGATAAACAAAACCGACGTGAAACTTTCAAAGATGACAGCGATCACATTAGGAGCGCTCTTAGTCGTTTTACTACCCAGTCTAACTCTTAATCTTGCTAGAAACCTTTTCGAAAACAACAGTTATGCTTACAATATTCTATTAAATATAAGTATCAAATTAGCAACAGCCGGCTCAATTATTAATCCAATTGTATATGGGGTATTGAATAAGAGGTTCAGAGCGGCATTTCTTGCTATTCTTAAATGTAGACGTCATCCAGTAATATAGCTGTTTAGTAATTCATAATTGTATTCGAAACATTTAAATTAGGCGGAATAGGGTGTTAAAATGTAAATAGAAGTACAGTAGCACCTTTGAATGATTTTGATATTAATTTTCTGTATTGACAAAAATGACTTATAATTGAAATGGACGTTGCAGACCCCCGAATCTTGGTATGTAACCTTTGAACTTAAAGAAACATATCGGTCACGTGTTCCACTGTTCAATACAAGGTATACATTGATTTTCTTTATGAGTTTTTAACAAGACTTTGTTTCCGAATGTGTCATCATTTTTTGTGAGTGTGTGTGTGTGCAAAGGGGCTTGTATAGCTTCGATTGAGTAAAGGGCATTTGAAAAAGAAGTGCAAAGAAGTATCGAAGGCACCTCCGGGAAGTGTACATGTACGTCTATTGTAGTCCAATTGTGCCTGTATAGTTCTGCTTTAAATAAACATCCAACCCTCGCTCTGTTGGGCATTTTTCTTGACTTGACTTTTCTTGAAAGAGATCCTGTGGTTAAGTTATTTCGAAAAAGAATTTTTTAAAGAAGAGATTGAAAGTAATGATTAAGCAGCGGAGGAGACATACGACGAAGACATAAGAAAGTAGTTAACTGGAGTGCAGAGGTATTTAGGGGTATTTAGAGTGAAGCCTATTGGATAATATTCTCACGTTATTCATACTAGCAAAATTTAGACTGCGCTCAAGGGATATTTTATCCTCAGTTAGGTTACATGTATTTTTTCACAGTGCTTGGTGACGTAGGTTTTGCAATTTACTTTCTATGAGATTGCAGTTTTGTTTGGTGTAAACATTTGACAGTGCCATGTCACCGTACCGCTTTGCTAATCATGGATGTAAGTGAACTGAAGATTTTGGTAATGGCGAAAATATTACAAAAACATCAAACAGCTAAAAATAATGCCTTGTGCAAAAACACGTTACGAATTTTTTTTTTCAATTTCTTAAAGACCCGGCGACACTGCAAAAGTCACCACAAGCTGTTCATTAAGATTTTTAAAATATAAACATTTTAGACATTTTTGAGACATTAAACAGCATAATCGCTTCCAAATAAGTTGCGGATTTTCTACTTTAGTAAAAGTAAAATAGATCAATTGTAGAATGTGAGATGGTGCTGCGAGCGACAGTAACGAAGGTTTAAAATGTAGCCCGTTTAATTCCGTTTGCCTTTCAACCGTTAAGTAAACTAGCTGAAAAAAGTATCCAACATTTCCTATCTCTTGAGACAACCATAGCCGTAGCTGAAGAATACATGTTTTACCTTACTAGCCCATGTCATTTTATATTATATAACATTTGGTAACATTGTTTCGGGAACCTTTCTGGTCCCATACATAATAATTTCAACCAATATTTAATGCTACGCGTGAGATAATGCACCGTCAGATCCAGCATTTGATGCGGAACTTGGAAATATTCACAAAATTTTATTTGCGCTATCTCAATTACCTCAACATAATTGGTACCCCAAATCTCAGATATGGTATGATAATATGGAACGAGTTCTTATACGCTAATACCACCAGCCTCAGGCACCCTTTTGTTTTTCATTTCTTTTACTGCCTTGGTGACTTCTTCCATTTCAAGGTGATTATTAAGTTCAGGAGGGTCATCATTGACACAGTGCTCACAATAATAGTCATGCTCTTTCAAAGCTTGATGTTCCTCTTTAAATATTGAGGTTTCTGTAGCCTGTGGGTTATATACATGTAGTTGCTTAAAATATTCAAACCGCCGGTCACTAATTATGGCACTAGACGACGAGCACCTTTCCCTTTGATTAATTCCCAACATACAAATGGATGATGTTTCGACTTTCCAATGTTTTGCTGCTGCATTGTTTTCCACTTATTCTTTGTTTTACGACATATCTCTCTATATGGATTTTTTTTTTTTTTTTTGCTTTCCAGTAGCTTCCGAGATATGTCGTCATTAGTGCGTCTGGATTTTTTCTATGCAACTCTGCATTTATTACCAAAACAACCATTATCTAATGGTCTAGGCACTTGTAGGTCGTTTTCACATCACCCGCCGCTCTTTGCATCAAGCCCTCCATAATATCCACCACATCATCAATGTTTTCGTGCACACTTTCCTCGAATTCATTAAATATGGTTACTGACACATTGTCGCTTAATTTTCCGAGAAATCCATCTTTTCCAGACCCACTCCAGACAAACTTGGAATAGGGTGTTAGGTTTACTATGGTACTTGCGTTCTAGGGGGAAATGATAAAAAATATAAACATAATAAGATTTATTTATAGTCTAAAATCCATATGAAATGTTCAGTAGACTTTACAGGGGTAAAATGAACAGAATAAGAGGAATATTTTCCGTTTGTTGTTGGTGAGCCAGTTGGTAATTTTATCCATAGAGGGTTTAGGATTATGCATGTTACAGCAAGTATAGATCTGATTATCATCTACATGTGGTATCCTTGCCATTTACCGACATTTATTGTGACCTCCCAGTAAGGCATGAACGAAGAAATGCAATGACTTTATCTTTGACACCTACACTATGCTCTGGAAAAGTTAATATTGTGCTGTGATAGTCAGTACGAGGGCGGCTGAAAGGTCTTGTAACATAAGTAGCATAGCAGATTTAGAGTTGCTGTCAATGCCCATAGGTAGACCGCATCTAATCCTCAGGACAGCTGACTCCGTGCTGTGTTTTGCCTTATAAGCAGATGAAGTGGGCGAATATCTAACAGCCACTACTTTTTCAATCACCTTTGAAAGAAATGAAAGATGTGATGTACTTCAGCATAAGCTGACGACCAAGGTTTTTTTAGTAATGGTTGAACATTTCCAGGCCTTGTAAACGGATTAGGCGCTCACTAACGCAGATCTTTTACAGCACCAACCCCATATTAACCACCAAACCAGCAAATTAACCAGCGCTACCAGGGCGGACGAATGTTAGTACTAAGTATCGCTATGTTAGTGCTAAATAATTCCACGATGTGTTGCTTAATTCGTGGGTTTGGTGGTTAATATAGGCAATAGTACTAAAAAATCGGCGGATAGTGTTACATGTAGCTCCCTGTCCGTAATAACGTAGTCTACTGTACATTGTATGACCATTGTTGGTTTAGCACGTATATTCTCCATCCACATCTCCATGTTTTCTCCCATTTAACAAATGAATGCCCATGCTACAGCACAGTTCCACCAAGTTCTGTCCTTTTGTACTCTGGATCTTTATTTTTGAGGGGAATAGAAAAGTTGTCTTTTTCATACCAATCGGCTACACGTTCCGCTCCATCAATTTCGATAAAGTCATTTTACGTTCCAGTCTTTGCATTCATATCTTCTACTAAGATAAAATATATTTTGTGTCAAGCCCTGTAACCTGCTTGTCTAATAGCAGGGAGACGGTGTCTAATTTAAGGTTTTTGATTACTTTAAACTGTTTACTAAACGCTTTTTAACAGATACTAATATTCCACCATGCTAATTTACCTCTCTACAATAAGCATAACATAGATATCCTGATAGCCAGTCTTTCCATTCCGATATATCATAAACCCGTCTTTCTACCAGTGCTATGCTGTCGTTCTTTCTCAAAGGTAGTTTTGATTTATTTTCATTTTTGTGCTTTCTTATTCCATGCGCGTTTCAGTAATGTACCAGTAGCAGCTTCCAAAAATTGGTTTAGAAACTGGGAAGTTTAAACTGAACATGAATTCATCTAGTACAAAGTTTAACTTTTATCAGAGAAATCATTCATTCAGTAGAAATCGCTCATTTTGCCTAATAACCTGTCAGTTGCAACTACGGAACCGCCACGGCATGCTGGCACTGTCTTATTTGAGAGTAATTAAACTATTTTTCTGTTAAGGATCCAAAGATCGAAGCCCGACTCTTCTGTCAGTACAAGAAAACCCTGGTTCCTATTCGACCAGTAAAAGAGGAAGTTCTGTACCTGGACCCCAGGGTTAGCATCTTCTATGACGTCATCACGGATAAAGAGGCAGACATCCTTATGGAATTGGCCAAACCACTGGTACGACGTGTAATGTGAATAACGTGAAAATTACATAGATTTTTCCCATCCTCTTTTCATTAATCTTAAAACGTGCCGCAAAATATAGGCAATGTCAGACATTCTATTTAAAGTCTCAGTACTGTGGTTTATTTTTAGAAACCCCGTAGATAATAGATTAATAAGCTCAAATAATGGAAAGAGGACAAATTCAAACCACATTGCCATAAGAAATTCTCCAAGATTTAAAATGTCTTGCCGTTACATTTTCGGTAGTGTATTTAATTGTGTATTTTAAATATATATAATTAATGTATATTACTACAAGTGACTAATGTGATCTTCAGCTGCAACGTTCGGTAGTCGTGAATATGTCAGGAGAAAGTCCTTCCAGGGAACGTATCTCAAAATTGTAAGATGCAGTATATTTTATTGCCACGTACAACAATAGCAAGTTAATTCCCATGTTTCATTTTTTCCTTTCACTTTTGTTCTGTTATCTGGCACATTTTGGACAAGCTAAATAGTGAATGAAGGTATTTCTTATCTTTTGTTTGACACTGATAAGTTTTTTTTATTATTTTCTGATTATCACAATGGTGTCTTCGCAGCTGTCGCGTTCTATGGTGGGAGAACCATCCATCAAGGCCAAGTCCGAGCAAAGGATAAGCAAGTTGTACATAAAATATTGAATACATCTGCTATCAGGAAACACTTTAATTGGGCTTTTTTCGTGATTTGCTTTTCTTAAAAAAATGTAACGAGCACAATATGATTGCTAATGTAGATATTTAAGTGTTGGTCAATCTTTGTTACAAGAGATTAAAATAAATTTTTCATATATCTCGATTTGCTACATGAGTTAGGATATATAATAGTCGATAGAAAATTTCCGTTAGGGATCTGTTTATTTTTTAAAATCCACTATACCTTGCTTGCATAGATTGTGTATATTTTTGTGTGGTAAATTACATAACTTAACAGATTCAGTATCAAAATAACAAATCGACTCAGATAACCCTGAATCTTCTTTCTATTAAATAGACAAAATGTACCAACTCACAAGCAGCATGTACGTCGAAAATACGTGTAACCCAGGGTGAAGTTTACGTGGTATATCCATATCTCGCGTTATTAGCATCATGCTTCTGCTGCTTCAGAACACTAGCTTAAGGGATTCAGGGTGTTGACGGGATCGCATATTTCTTTTCATGCCTTTTTGCATTGAAAAGTTAGTCAGTTTTATTTTACATTTTTTAGCTTTAGCAAGGTGGTAGTTTTTTATCATGCTTATTTTATTTTACTGCGTTCACTAATATGCTATCGTTTAGTTACTTTATTATTCATACAGATCTCCTACGCTGTACTCAGTGCGTAAGCATCTCTTTCTCTCTCTCTCTCTTTCTCTCTACTGTGTGTCATGTAAAATTAATAAATTTATGAATAAAACTTCTCACATATTTACTTTACGCCAGAGCTTGGCTGTTTGACTGGCATCTGGATAAGACGGTGCGCCATTTAAGTAAAAGAGTTGAAGAAATAACCGGCCTGAGTACAGTTTACAGAGAACGCTCGGCAGATGCGGAGGCGTGGCAGGTAAGTTGACACCGGTTCTCAATATATGTGTCCATTTGATTTTTTTATTTACTTAGAAGTAAGCGGGCGGATGAATTGTTTGTCCAAGTGGATTTTACTTTTATCAGTCTAGCCACTTAAATCACCGAAATTATAATGAAGAGATTAATCTGTTCTGACAAAAAAAAAAAAAAAAAAAAAAACGGACTCAATTTGAAACCTTCGGTACAGTCACTTACAGTACTGTCATACTTGTAATTTTATTGCCTTAAATGAATTTTAGGTTTTCCCTACCCCTAATTGAATTGGCAACTATAAAACTAATCAACTCTATTACATGCAAGTTAATTTCCAAAAAAGTTTATAAGGTTATTATCTGATCTTATATGTCATGAATGTAATTTGTTTTATTATAGATGTGTCGGTCAAATGTATGCAGGGTGTCTACTTACATGCATATGATCAGTTTACAAGTCAAATTAAGGAAGTCAGTTTGTATAATCACACTAAGTAACTCAAATAAACGAGAAGCCAAATCTTTGGTTAAAGTGTACGTCAGCTTCAAACGTATTTAGAAATGACCCGCTACCTTCATTCACCTCGTTCAATCAGTGTAAGTTATCAACCTGTGTCCAGAACTCTACCTGGAAGTCCTTTCTTTTATAACTTAAGTATCATTGAATTAAAATGACCACTCCGGTAACCCACCTGGCTTGTAAGCCAATACTATGTAATTGTATGTGTGAAGAAATATAAGATGGAAATAGATGTAGGGGTCAGTAGACAGTACTTAGAGAGGACACTTAATTCGGATCACTAGAAAGCAAAATATGATGTAATATAAGCACCATGTCACAATCTCCAATCGATCTAGTTAGTTTCTACTAAAGAAGTAAATCTGCCACTTGTCAGGAAGCGAGCATGATGCCTTACGTCTCGAAGGTGTCTAGAATGCTTATTTCAGATTTTAGCAATGAATAGCTTGGCGGTTTCGCCCACCTTTTGAAAATTAAAAAAAAAAAAAAAAAACACCGAGAATCCTTTTGTAGCGTGTCATTATTTTTAGTTTTTTTTTTGGTGTTTTTGTAATATTTTAGTCATTAATAAAATGTTCAATTCAGTTACATCCATGATTAGCTAGATGATATGGTGACAGGACACAGTCAAATATTTTACACAAAACACTGCAAAACTGCATTCTCTTAGAAGGTAATTTGCAAAACCTTCGTTACCAGGCATTGAGAAAAATATACTTGAAGTCGGTAACAATCAGTAAAATAAACGTGTATTTCGTAATACCCCTTTTTTATAATTTTTGTAAGCTTTAAAAACGTGCAAATATTATCCAAAAGGGATGTTATTTTTAAAACTTTGGTTAATCAAACCTTCATTACTGAATACGAAAATTGTCCATATCATCAAAGCGTAAATCGGAAATGTTTGCATGTTTTGCACAAAAAGCTACATTTACATGTATCACTTTCAGTCCCCAGAGTTTTAGAAAAAGTAGAATTCGCGAATATATCCTTGTCATTCAAATGGAGCTATATATTGAGAATTTCTAAAATAGAATAACATGAGAAAGAACCATTTCGTTAGAAATAAAAAAATACGTAAAAAAAGACCAATGTGAGACTGATGCCTTGAGAATGGGTAAAGTTGTTATATATAGTTGTTATATATGTCATTGTCAAATTGTCCATTGTTGCATGTGTCATAACTAAGTGGAAATGAAATTAGCGGCAAAATTGACACCTTAGTAAAGGGGACAAAAGGTGACAATGTAATGGGATTTTCTGGAAAAAGCCTTAACAATGAAGGTGATAAATATATTCTAGGAAAATGGTACACCTGTGTGAAAGCAATCAGTAAATTGAATTTTAAAACCTGGAATTGGACCGAAAAATATTAATGACGCAAACGGTGCATGGGGCTAGGAAGTAGTGATTAACAGCGATAAGTGATACTAAATAAACATTGCACTGATTTAGAATTGGTTTCTAGCAACACAATAAGTTATATATTATGGCTACTTTTTATCTACTTCTTATATATTTTCTGCACAAATTTAGTACGAATAATGGATAAAATTATATGGGTAAAACGGCACTTTTTATTTAACAGGTTCTTAACTATGGCATCGGGGGTATGTACGAACCACACCACGACTTCTTTGGGGACGATGAAATGTTGAAGAACCTTCCGACACATCTCCAGGATACTGGGCGCAGGATTGCCACCTGGCTCACATACGTAATTGCAATTTACGAATACACCACGCTTGTAATAAACAAATTTTCGAAGTTACAAAAAATTGCTATAGAAAGAGTTCAAGATGGAAATTGCGTTCGATTAAAATAAATGTTTGAATTAACATTATGCATGATATACAACCATGTAGCCTAATGTAAATGTAATTGTAATATTAAGATATTAGTCAGTCGTATTAATATTAACAGTTTCCCCCTAAATCTCAACGTCAAAAACTTTCCCTCGAAGATACATTAAAGAAAGTGGTGGCAAATCATTTAAAATGTAAACATTCTTGTCAGCACTGTGGGCCTACATGTATGTGCAGTTTCAACATTCGCATGTGCTGTTCTTCAGAGGATGGTGTTAGAAAGTGTGTTTACAACATTTTCTGATATGATATTTGTTGTGGGTCATCTTTATACAGTTGACCAGTGCCCAGTCCGGCGGACACACCGTGTTTCCAGTGATCAAGGTCCGCGTTCCAACTGTCAAGGTACATGTATTTTATATTTTATCTTTTGTAAAGTGGAGTCTGTTGGGCCGTTTCACATCCACAAATACTGACCCTCTGGGTCACGTCAGTGACGCTCGCATTTTGTTTTATTTGCACAACTGTTTAATATCACGTTTTAATTACTGTTGATTTTTTTCACATTGGAGGGTACTATAGTATGAAACAGAAAAAAAAATGAAGGGGCGAGTCAGAATGATGTAAATATTACACAAAATGTAGGCGTCACTTACGGACAGGTTAGTGACACAGAGTCAATTTTTTTGCGGAATAGCCCCGCTAACGATATGCCAAGATCCAATCCGTGTTGGCGTGTATAGAAATGGTTGTTTGGAATTTTGATAAAATTTATTTTTACAATTTTACGTTATTAAACTATTGTGAAGTGTTGTGTAGCTCAAACGCTTGTGATTCTTCTAAAAGGACGTAATTCTATAATTACTTTTCTTTTGGTGAAATATATCCACGCCCACGCATGTGTACGGTAACGTTACATTTCTTCAATATCTGTCACGGTGTTAGAAACACGTGCTCAGTTTTGAGCACTGGGTGTCAGATTCGTATTTGATTAAGGCATTGGACTTTTCTCGGGTTTAGAACGCTGCCGCATTCTGGTACAATTTGAAGAGAAACGGAGAAGTTGACCACAGAACCGAGCACGCGGGTTGTCCGGTACTTCTGGGACAAAAATGGAGTAAGTATATCACTATAACAAGAGTCGCTAAATATATAAGATTGTCAAACGCGGTTCAATCTGAGCAGTTTTTGCCAAGAGCGATATTTGACAGTTGTAATATGAAACAGGACCATGGCTCCAGTTTACACACTACCATAACTCGAGAAGTCTACGTAGGCCAACCTGAGATCAGTTGAATTTCACTGAAACATTAGGCATAGCCACTGAGTATTAACTGTTTAAAAACTGCTCCGACTTATTTGGAAAAAAGTTATCCATGTCCGTCAAACATTAGAGAGGGCTTCACTTTATTTTTTCATTTAATTTTTAAATGGTTTTCTATTCATTGTTTAAAGAGTTTAACAGTGGCATGAGTCAGTGTATAATTTCGTGCAATTGAATGAAAGAACCGTTTACATTTTTCTTTCTAATTTGTTTCCTAAGAGATTTGCCTTGTGTGTTCATTTCAGTCTCAAACAAATGGATCCGTGAAAGAGGGCAGTTATTTCGCAGACGATGCGGGTTAACTCCCGATGCTTTAGACGAGTGATGGTCACGTGACGCAGTTGGTGTGGTCTATGGCTAATAGACCTTTCTATATATGAAGACACCCATGTGATGTAGTTTGGTGTAGTCTATGGCTACAGACCTTTCTAGATATGAAGACACCCATTTGATGTAGTTGGTGTAGTCTATGACTAAAGACCTTTCTGTATATAAAGACACCCATATGATGTAGTTTGGTGTAGGCTTTAGCTATAGAGCTCTCTAAATATGCAGGAACCCATGTGATGTAGTTGCTGTAGTTTATGGCTATAGACCTCTCTCGATACTTGGACATATGTCCAAGCTCGATATGAAGAAGACACCCATGTGATATAGTTGGTGTAGTCTATGGCATGCGTGTAACGAATAAATTAACGGTTCAAATGTACATTTTTAAAAAGCTGTCTGGGTAGGAGAGTCGAAACCATCATTATTTTTTAAGGGCACGGGGGGGGGGATGGAGAATGAAAGAGAAGTTACTAAAACAAAATAAAGAAGTGAAAAATTACAGATGACCACAGAAATGTAACTGTTTGTTACTTGTTACCCTCCCAACATTTTCTGAAAATTTCATTAAAATCCGACCACCACTTTTTTTTAAAATTTGTTGCTACATGTAATAGACAAACAGACACACGGAACCAAATATACCAAAAACGTAACCTCCTTGGCGGGTGTAATTTACCCTCTACCAGGGCGACAGATTGATTTTCCAGAGATATTCACAGATATGTCTCTAGATAAATAGACGTCTGTTGAAGAGGGTAGGTGTAATTATGGCTAAAAAAGTGCCCCAGCCATTTCAACACCCTGTGACCACCACAGACTTAACTGAACTTGTAGTTATCAACAATATCGAAACGAGAATTGATGTGGTATGTTAATATGTCCATATTAAAACCTTTATTCCATCGCTGAGTTTCCTAGTGTACAACGTGCATTGCTGTTAACTTCGTTATCATGAGAGTTTCATCAGCCAAAAAGTGGGTAATGAAAACCATATAAAATATGTAGATGTACCGGTGTAACGAAACTGAAGGTTCGTATAATGGTTAGGGTTCGTCTGACTTAAGTGGGTCAAAATCTAGGGCGGGGCTCACCTGTACAAATGAATGGGAAGCGGACTCTCTGTTATGGGGGACTTTCAGTCACTTTACACCGGTACGCGTGCGCGGTCGATCAACCCCGGCACTGGTACAGGTTGTATATAACGTCATACATTTAACATGCTGTGGTTACACGCATAAGCCGCAAAACTGAGATGGGCCAAAATACTGTCTTCAGCTACCAATACCTCTAGATCCATTATTTTTCAGTCTTTACATTGTTTGAAAATGGGTACAAACTCCTCCGTGTCCGTGATATTAATAGTCGTACCAAAAACTGGGTCAAGTCTACAACTCCTCACGTTTTTATTTATTCTTAGTTGGTTGCGTCCAAGTGATCGTGACAGTGCGAATTGGTCTTCGCGCATGAAATACCGCACAGTTATAGACAGAGCCCTGTGCCTCCCTGTGTCATATAAAAGCGGGCATATCTGCTGGGCCATCTTCGTCCTTGTTGGTGTGCATGTATACGAGTCGTGATTTTTATCGTGGGTGAAACCTTCCATATACATTGTGAAAACAGTACAGGTTTTCGACAATAGACACATCGAATACCAAGGACGGCATTCAGGTTATTGAGGCATAATGCGACACGTGAACCCGGACAACGCTTCTATATAGTCCAGGATATACTCATCAAACACTAGTGCGTCACATGAGGGTATTATTACGGCTTTTTGAACTTACTGATGGCTACGCGTACACGTGTGACTATTTGCCTGGCGAATTAGATAACCTCTTGCACATGCATCTTCAACGCAATAGGCCCCTATGTAGTGACCTGCGGCCCTTGTATATGGAAGTAGACGCTATCAAGGAAATTACCAGTAGTTTATAGTAGAATGCTAGTGATATCCCTAGCCTACATGTAACAGTGACTGTTACAAACGCCAGCACAAAGAAAAACTAGTTATGTACTCGTAGAAGGTGCCTATACCCACGATGATCGTTGTCGCCAAGAGCTAGCTGGAAAAGGCTGTTTCAGATGACCAAAAGGCAGTTAGAGGTCTGTCAACAACCAGCTTCACTCCTACATGTAGGCCTACTTGTCAGTTCAAAGTGAGACACGAATAATGTCGATAAAAGCGTTTCCGCATTCGAAAATATTGCTTTTAGCCATCACCTGCTGTTGCATGGTTTGTTGCGCCAGATCACAGGTATATACCTCCACGGTAGCGATGGCTGACCTGGCGGGCAGAGAAAACGACATATTCAGGTGGATAGATGGCTACATCGACACAGAAATCCTGAGACTGAAAGCTTTGAAAAGGTATAAAAATTGACCTTGGATGTCATTCTTCTTAATGTTCCGTGTATTCTTCAACTGGATACTAATGCGAGCACGTTCTAGTAATTGTTAATAGTTTTCAACTAAATACGCTTAACCTTTCTTTTCAGATTTAAAAAAATTCTGCATTGATGTTGTTGTTTTGTTTTTTCACAGACAAGCGTCCCAAATACCTCGCCTTACCCCGACCCAAGCCGCAGCCCATGTACTTAATCCCCTGGGAGCATACCACACCATTAAAAAGTTCTCTTTTGTGTGGAAGAAACTTGCGGAAGCCCTCATAAGCCAGACGTGGGCTGCGCATCCAAGTGAGACTTTCTTAACAGCGGCCTCATTTTAGCGAATGCTGCATGTATCAAGCTGCTGCCTAAAACGAGGCAATGACAAATGCGTTCATTTAAAAACTAAATTAAATATGTAGAACAGTTTCATTAGCTATGTTTTTGTAATAGACTTGTGAAGATTCTTTTGTCTATAGCTACTTATATTTGTCTGATCTTACCATCCAATATTTCAAATAGCTATTTGAAATATTAAATTAAATATGGCGTATTTAAGTTTTATTACCGCGGTATGTTTATCCATTAGAGAACCTTAATTTTGACAAAGACAATACTGCCTTTTATATATCTATGACTCTGTCTGGATCGCACGGTATCAACACTCCACGTATTTTACAATGTTCACATAGAAAACTTATAGCTTTAAGTTGGAGAAAAATTTTAACAAGCTGACATGCACATTCCAGTAGTTCTCCTTTGAGCTTGGATAAAACTGTGGAGTTAAGCTCAACCCAACACCATTAAACAACATGTACACTTATTTAATTCCAGATATATCTCTTTCAAAGATCTCCAAGGATCTAAATCTCAAGCAGTGGCCTGGAAACCGGGATTTAGAAGGGGCGGCGTCGGCATTGGTGCGTCTCCAAAGGACATACGGTCTTTCCGCAGTCGACCTTCAAAAGGGGAAAGTGCTCTCCTCTGTCACAGAAGTTCATTTAGACTCCAATGATTGTTTTTTGATTGGGCTAGAAGCCGAGAAAACAGCTGATTGGCTAATAATGAGCGAGTGGATGACGCTTGCTCACGAAAAGATGAATAAACAGTCACTGTTTAGAGAAGCTCAGGTTTTTATTTCATTAGCAAAGGCATATTTGAAGGTTAGTTTCACATATATGGTTAAATCATAAGTTAACGTTTGGCCTTCGTTTTGCGTTAAAATAATGATAACCTTTGGAATGCATCCTTGATTTATATCGGGAACGAACAATCTTGAACGAATAAAATCATTTTATTCGCCCAAGGTACATGTACATGTACATGTACTGAAAAGAAAATAATGGTTTCTAAACTTCGTTTTTGGGTCCATCAATCGAAGATCTCCTTCGTTAAGATTAGGACATCTTATATTTCTCTTCACATATGATAAATTATTCGTTGCAGCTGGAACAAACATCGAAAGCTGTGGAGTTTGCAACAAGAGCTGTAGCTTTGGGTGAGTGCAATGGCGTGTTCTTTATGCGTGCGTCCCTGTTTGCGCGTGCCTGCATGGAAGCGCGTTCTGTTAATACATTTAAGCGTAGCGTCGGAGGAGCTTGGATTCCTAGTAACGCATATAAACCACTTCTACTAGTTTCTTATACGACTCAAATGAATCCGAGATGCCAAGGGATAAACGGAATGAAACACTCAATTCTCCACACTTAGGTCGCACGCCCTGGTAGTAACGTCACCTTGTGATGGCACATGCCTAAAATTTCATTTCTTTTATTCAGAGTATCTGGCGTAAGCATAATTTACCGTTTTTCGTCCAGGAAAAAGCTGTATAGGTGTTGGTTCCTTCTTTGTGTTGCTGATTATTTGAAAATGATGTCCCACTCTATGCCATACTGAGTGTTACTTTCTTTTAATCTCCAAATATATTTTGATTGACTAAGTTTCTGTAGCATATTTTTTGTCCCTGAATGATTTAGTGTGGTTGTTAGATCTTAACTTGAATTGCCCACCACAAACAGGGGCGGATTTAGGCCGTCTTCTTGGTTTTCCAGAAGACGGTCAGATTTTCAAGTTTACATTGGTGGGTATCTAATTTTTTCTGTCGGAAGACGGTCAAAAATGGTGGATGGATCAACAAAGATAATTTGGAAGACTGTCAGAAAATATCTCTGAATCTGCCCCTGACAAAGGCCTATATAATTCACACATCCGTTCTTTATAGTGATTGCTGCTTCATACACAATGTTGCTAGACAAATATTCCCCCCGCAAAGGATACTTGCTTGGCATTCTACAATTGCAGTTTTTCTCTTGCGTACTTACTGACATATTTTTTTAGTATTTCCTTAAAATGGCCCTGAATAATCTGCTGCATGCTATTCATACAACTGTAACTAACGTTTACTGTAAAATGGGTGGGTCAGCTTCCACGAGGGAAATGTTTGTCTAACAACTGGAAGAAGATATGACCAATTTGCGTTTTAACGTTTTATGAGTAAGGCGGGTTAAACCAAATCAGCCTTCTGTTCCGTCTTCTCTTTTTACTGGAGCGAAAATTGCTTGGTTTAATTTCATTGTTCACCGACCTTCCGTTGTATCCCACCGTTTCAAGCGCCTTCGTGCACACATTTGCAGATCCTTCTGCAATTACCCCGCAAGATGATGAAAGGGACTGTAATCTTTCACCGATGGCCTTAGGTATATTTTTGATACATTTAATTGCAGGGGGCGATTGGAAATTTTATGCACATAGATCGGCTTGACAAACGGCTTGTGTGCCTCGGATTCTAGGTCTAAGTTTAAATCATGGAAGTTAACTGCTGTTTTGTTCGTAGAGACAGTGATAGTTAGACCATGCTGCGCTTCCACTGGAAGATTTAGATAAAATGATGATGTTATTAAGGTTATTTAGGTTATATTAAGGTTATTATTATCAAGGTTATTAAGCTTATCAAGGTTATTATTCAGGTTATTATTATCAAGATTATTATTAAGGTTATTAAGGTTAACAAGGTAATCAAAGTTATCAAGTCAACCTTGGACATAATAAGAGAAGGCCTTTCGTCATTATGTCCAAGAGTCAACTTTATTCGCGTGAATTTTTTCGCCCGTTCCAAGTTAATCATAAGTAGATCTTCCTATATAGAGGGATAGGAATTCACAACGTCGAACCAAATGAACTTTAATGCTTTTTTGTTCTGAAGGTAATATATATTAGTATAAAATTTTTTTAAAAGGATGCTGAAAAGATTTAACTTTTTACATTTTTAGATCCAGGCAATAAAGAATACAGAGTCACTTTAGAGCAATATAAATCAACCAAAGAAGCCTGCGACTATGAGCCAGAGATAACTCCTGCAGCAGAGCTTAGCGTCTACGAAATGCTATGCCGTGGTGATATTTTACAGGTTGAACGCCCAGAAACCTTTCGTATTTAAAGTACTGTCATACCTAGCGTATAGCACTTATGTTTGAAAATATTGCCCATACGCAGATAAACGCAATGGGTTCTTTAAAATTACGTCGTATACATGTACGTCTCGAGTACGCAGGCAAACGTTCGCATACCCGTAAGGAGGCAAAGTGTTTCAAAAATGTTCAAAAACAATTTCATACGCTGCTTAAATCTGCATTTTAATACGTTGGAGACTGTGTGATTTCATACGCTCTAAGTTGTACGCATAATCGACGTCACACACGCGATACTCATACAGTGTGTACTTGCGTATCTCTCTGCGCTAGGTGTGACAAAGCTTGTAGGCCTACTTGTATGAAACATCAAACAGAGCTGTACCAGTACTGTAGATTAACGGGCCTTTTAATATCAAATATTTAATTAAAGTTATTGTCGAAAATGGACCGGCAGTATCACCCATACAAATATTTGAACATATGCACATGTATATAGGACATTCTTATACAAATATCTATATTAAGACTAGCTTAAATTTGCTGCTTTTCTTTCCAACTACTACTGGGAGTACAGGTTAAGGTGAAACTTTCATGTCTAATAATCGAATTACTGTTTTGCAGGAGAAAGCAGTGGAAAAGGCCCTTAATTGTAGATATAAAGAGACAAATATACCGATCAAAGTCGCCAAGGAGGAAATATTGTACCGTGACCCCCGCGTCAGCATATTTTATGATGTCATATCCAACAGCGAAGCTCAACTTCTTGTTGACATGGCGTCTTCAAAGGTGAGCAATTTTCTGACAGAAGCACAAAATACATTTTCATGTCATCACGTTTCCTATGAATACCAATAAAGGGGTTTGTAATTTTTTCAGGAAATTTGCGATATTTTGATATCAGAATCGTTATCGTGGCCTCCCCGTACATGTAGGTATACATGTGTCTATCGCAAGTAACCAATATGATATTTTAGCTTATTTCCACTTGTACCAGTACCTTTAAGTTAAGTAAAAAGGGACGAATTTTCGGTAAAGGGTATAAAAAATCAGTTTGTCGGCCTTTGTATGGCAACGTCAAAAATGTGTCCCAACAAATAATTTATCACAATGGATCATCTTCCAGATGCATCAGGCTTACATTGGACAGTCCAAGATGTCTGCGATGAGAATAAGCCAAGTGTATGTAATATTTTTTATGTCACTATTAATCCCCACAACTGAGACACCATTCTGTTGAAAGCATGCTACATGTATTAAAGGCACTTCGGAATTTTAGTCAGAGAAGTATTGTACTGTCACGATCCGATCATATTTAACCATTGAGAAACACTAGTGCTATATACACATTTTTCTTGATTGCTTATTTTGCATAGTCAATGAACTGTATTGAATTATGATTTCGTAATTTTTGAAGGTTGCGGAAGCAATCACTACAGTGTTTATTGAAATTAACACTATAGTAATTGCTTCAATGTTAATTGTTTCGTAGAGGTTGGTTGGGAGACGAAGCGGCTGATGTGAAACAAATAAGTCAGAGAATTGCACAAATCACAGGCTTGGAAACGACAATGAAGAGCGACATGTCAAATGCAGAAAAATTCCAGGTTAAAATGACATAATGTACATATGGTATTGTAATACAAAATGCTCACACTTGCATATAGTAAGAAGATCGATAGATAAAAAATAGATATTAATTAAATGAAAATTAAAAATAGTAAGAATTTATATTTAAAATTTTAATTTGAGAGAAACACTTTGCCGCATTACACATTTAGCATGTTCACATTTTCGGAAAAATTACTCCCGCCGGCCGAGTTTTAAGGTAAAAAACATGAAAATATCACAATATGGTTTTATTTAAGAATACGGTCTTTGATACATTATGGAACTTGCAAGAATATTTTCCTGTAACTTTTCATTTAGCAGGAATTGTCCCTTTGAGGACGCAACTGCTGTCTTGGTGTTCGCTTATTCGGTTCGTTGGCGCAAGAAAAGGCCTGACTGATTGCACAACCTGTCCAAATAAATGGAGGTTTAAGTTCCCGGCTTGTCAAGAAAAAAAAAATCAATATCCCGACGTCTAAATTGCGTTAGTTGTGCCTTTTGTCTGCACCGCTACATTTAACACCTTTACCGTCGCAACAGTTGTGCTCATTGCCTGCTCACAATCCTAAAGCGTTTTGGAAATATTTTAAGTCTTTCAAATAGTTGTTCTAGTTGTGTGCCGCATTTGTATTTATTGAAGCATTCATTCTGCTAGAGTCTTTGTCTAATCGTTGATCTGTATCATCGTGAGAAACAACAAAAGTAAACGATGTTACAGGTCCATTTTCAGCAGATCCAGTATTGGTGCATATGTTAATCTGTTCTCATATCGAGAGCAATGATAACTCTAGCAATCCTTGCCTTAAAGATAAAAAATAATAATTAACAATGATCTCAACCACACTGACACTGTCTATTGCAGGTCGTAAGCTATGGCGTAGGAGGTATGTATAAGCCACATTATGATGCTTTCGGAGTCCACTACGACGCTTCCGAGGGTCCAGAATACCTCCGGGACTCCGGGGATAGAGTTGGGACATGGATGTTTTACGTAAGTTTCACTTGGAGAACTCTAAGACTTCGGTAATAAACTTCAAGAGTTGGCGAGAAATCGATTACAGGTCAAACAGTATATGATATCTGTAGTTTGTGCGTTCACTGGTTGGTCCAAATATTAGCATTAATATTAAAACATTATACTTGAATTCTATTTTAATATGATATACATATATATATGATATATGTAACTTTAATAGCGTAACTTTATATATTTGTAGCTCACCGATGTTGAAGCGGGGGGAGCCACCGTATTTCCCGCTATTAAAGTTACAGTGCCGCCGGTCAAGGTATTAGTACCAATGTTTCAAGCTCTATCTTTGCAGTAGATTAAAGACCACTGATAAAAGAAATTGAAATCCCTACACGATATTTTCTTTTAGAAGAACCGTCATTTGTATGCAACTAGCTTTTATTCCGTTTCATAGAACGCCGCTGTGTTTTGGTACAATCTGAAGAGAGACGGTAGAAGGGACACGTACACGATCCACGCTGGCTGCCCGGTCTTACTGGGACAAAAACTGGGTGAGTCGATAGACTTTTTTTACCATATAATAGGTGGTCAGACAGGCTTTGACACAAGGACTCATAGCCTATCAGTATATATGTGCTTTCTTTGAAAACGAGAAGAAAGTGCTGTTACCTTTTCTTTTTTTCGCAGCACTAATTTTCACAACACGATTTTACAACGATCCTGTTTTGTGCAGTATACATGTATTTATAGATTTACATCTATAAAACAGATCATATGCCATCTGTTTTTTATCATTTGATTATTTTCCAGTTGCCAATAAATGGATACGGGAGAGGGGACAGATTTTTCACAGGAGGTGCGGGCTTGATCGAAATTCACCCGACGATTGAGAAATCATTTTTGCAAACGCAATACATTATGATGTGAAAAACGCCGATGATTGTATGATGTGTAGAAGTCCATTGACGTGTAGATCTAGTATATCAAAGTGTCGCCCTCTACAGTACATGCAGGGTCCCTCAATGTGTACCGGTACAGTTGGACCACTAAACTATACCGCTGTATGAGGTGTGGCATAGAAAGCGTCGGGTAGTGCATACCGTACGTGTGTCTCGATCCCGTGAGTTTTGGCCCAACTGCATTAGGAACTGAGCCTTTTCATCCTTCTGACGTAAAGATTTTTATCTTTGCTCGTATCAGCCAAAATCAGGTCCATGGCCGCCAATTTATGCTATGGCAGGTTACAAGAAAGCTGCTTGTTTTGAATTATATATTGAAAAGTAATTGGTGTCTTGATGCAGTTATTGCCTGGGTCACTTCAATCGGCCATTCTTTGCTATAAATATGCGCACTTGTGACATTTCTGAATAAATAAAACCGAGTAAATTAATTTTATTCATTCTTTTTTTAAATTTTAAGATGCACAATTGAATCTTCCAAGAATGATATACGAGCAACAAGATCTTCAAATTATTCTTTGCGAAACAACAGTAAAATTGATTCATCTGCATTAGATTTGTCAGCATTGTTTTTTTTTTTTTTTTTTTTTTGTTACTTCTTTATTTATTTCTAATGTATTAGACTACAGTTATAGAAAGATGGGTTCAGTATCTAAACCCTATTCAGATTCAGATTAACCTGTACTAGTTTGGAAATTTCCTAAATCTACAATTTCTATGTCTACTTATCCTGAAAATCTACTAATTTGGCCCAGTTCTGACCTTAAAACTATAAACCCCCTCAAATTTAAGTAAATGACATCGATAGTTCCTTCTGTAATAATCAGGAAGATCTTATAAAATTTTAAAAATGGGTTGAAACATCGAATGCAAGTGCAGGGACCAGTGGAGTAATGATTCGAGAGTAGCAGAAAATTGCTTATTATCCTCGAAGAAAGGCCATTGCCGCCGGTAAATCTCGTATATAGTACCTTTAACATAAACAAAGTGAAAGTATCAGCCTGAATTTCAGAGTAGACTGGAAACACACTTCTGTACTAACAGCATGCCACCAGATACTGGAAACATGAGACAGAGACATGTGCATAGTCAAGAGGCGAGTTTCCAGCAATTTAGGGTGGTTTTGATCTAATATGATAGCAATTTTACTAATTTGGCCTGATTGATTAATGACTTGCTCTGTTAAGAATGAGACAAGGCGATACAATCATCGCGATAGTAAACATGAGAACAGATGGAACTGTTTTTGAAAAAAACAAACTCTACCAAGGTGCCAAGTGGAATGTAGGTTGGGTATTGAGGGATTCGGTAGTACGTGTAATATCTATAGCTTAAAGTGATAATAACTCTTCGTTTGGGCCAAAAAATGAATTTTCCTGGAGTAAACAACAATTTTCCCATACTTACCAATGGTTAATGAATCCATTTTTACATTCAAAGTTAGTCCCTGGTTTTTTTCTAAAAAGTTTGGTTTTTTGTTAAAATCTCTTAAGAGATTTTAACAGAGTATAGCCATCAATGGAGGTCACGTGGTCTAAAGACAAGCTCAGATATCAGAATAATAGCTATAACTGCCGTTTTTGTGGTAAAACAGAATATATTATATTTCTATGAGTTATTCACAAATGTTTTTATTGTGAAATATAGATCTCATACGAAGAGTTATTATCCCTTTAAGCACGTCTGCATACATCATATGTCAAAGGGAATACAGTTATTTTAGCTTAAAAGGTATCAAATCCTGTATATATGCTTATTTTCGTGAGAATGGTTTGAGCCACAACCCCTCAACTAAAATGAACCCTACCTGTTGATATTTACATAACAATCAGTCGCTCACCGCAGTACGAGTTGTCTTCCAGATTAGTCACTTGGCAGTTGGACATCGTAAAGTGAAGACGCAGGATATGCACGGCAAAATTGCGAGTTCAAGGTTTTATTAGGCGTACAAGAAAATATATCTAGTAAGTATCATTATAAGTACATTTATCTTTGTAATAAAACACTAGAAACGCGTACGTTTAGTCAAATGTATATAACACATGTCTTTGTTATGTTATGTATTAGAATGCATGCAGAAAAATCAGTGCACGCAGCAGAACGTTGAATTACATCTAAATTTATTTGAAATCTTTTGGCATTGTGAGCTTTCTGTCTTTTTGAAAAAATGTTTTGGTCCTAGATAATTGAATGAGAATTAATGTGGGTAGCATGATGGCAATGAATATGACGACTAAAGATTATAGTGTTCTTTAACACTGAGTTTTGATACGTGTTCCCCATTTACTTGTAAAGGCGTATTTATTTGGAGTTATTTAATACTTTTAAATGTTTCTTTTAGATGAATGGCGTGAGACGTAAGCCGTTTTCTGCTGTGGATGGAGAAGCCTTCAAAATTTTTTTCAGGTAAGTACTCGTTATGTATTTCAACACAAGCGCGCCCACACGGTTTCTCAATGCGTTAAGTTGAATGCTAATTTAAAAAAGCATATTATTATACATGAAGGTTCACACTGTATTTAAGGTGCCTCAACTTTTCCATAGATTACAACGCTAACTATATCAAGACATATATATACATGTACATATCCCTACATATCCGATATTAATCAAATGCAATTGTTAGTGCAATAGCTAGACTACCATTCTGTGGATGCATTATTTTCATACAATTATCTTAAGGCAATCTCAAGCCAAGCTTTTTTCTGAAACTTTCAGAAATGTCAACAAAGATGTAAGGAATTTCAATTATAAGTATGAATCTTATGTACCTATCATACGCAAGTATCGATACTAAATATTTCTTCATATTTCAGATGCACCACATTTTCCGATTAACTGCAATAAACGGAACCTGCAAGTTACCCAGCCTTTTGTTCGGATTCCGGAACCCGACACCATTATTATCTTAAAATCGAATAAACTCATTTACAATGTCTTTGGTTTTTCATTTTGATATGAAGTAGTTAAAACGGTAATGATAATAAGGGGAATGATTGATCTGTTAGCCATGTAACAAGTTGTCAAGCGCTCTCAAAATTTTCTGTAAAGTTTAATATATCAATATTGCTCTTGTTTTTTGTTTGCGTTATCTTATTTGATTAATTCGAAATCGTTTTTACATTTTGTTAATGTGCCTTAAATTAAGTTATGTGACCAAGTAAATCAATCTTAATAGGCATTCATTTTTCAAGCCACAAAAAGAATGTATTTAAATTGTTTTCGAAATACCTGTTAGAATAATTTGTGGTTACAATGGTACTTTGCTAAATTTGTTTCTATTTCTATTGATATTTATTGATATCTTACTGAAATTTGCTGGGGAAGGTATGATATTGATCACAAATTTTCAAACCCCTCTTCTCGTGAACGTTTCGTTTAATAAAAATATCATGTAAAGATGATTTTTAATTTTCCCACTTCCATCACCTGGTCATAAAAATATACTTAATAATCCAAGTAATTATTTGTTTGATTACAAATCTTGGCATAGTAGAGTTTCGTGTACTATTCATATGTGTTAATAAAATGTTGACATCCCCTGCCCTGCAAAACCTTGCTGGCATACTTGTTTATTTTGAATTTGCCAAATTCTCTTTGAGGAAATTTGGTCTTACTTTGCTGCTCGAGTTTCTCAATTTTTCATTTTGGCATAGACCCTTGTTTTTGGTTTCGTCTGCCCTAAAAAACATCAATACCTTTGTACTTCATGTAGATTAAAATTATCTATAAAGAAACTCTCGGAAATGGAATGAAATGCTTTAGTTTTAACTTTCAATGAATTAGTGCACAGTTTTTATATTCTTTTGACTTTTACTTTTCACTCTCAAAATAAAATAGACTCGCACCACCTGTCACCCCTCAAATGAAATGGACTCGCCCCACCTGTCACCCCTCAAATGAAATGGACTCGCCCCACCTGTCACCCCTCAAATGAAATGGACTCGCCCCACCTGTCACCCCTCAAATNCAAAATTGCGAGTTCAAGGTTTTATTAGGCGTACAAGAAAATATATCTAGTAAGTATCATTATAAGTACATTTATCTTTGTAATAAAACACTAGAAACGCGTACGTTTAGTCAAATGTATATAACACATGTCTTTGTTATGTTATGTATTAGAATGCATGCAGAAAAATCAGTGCACGCAGCAGAACGTTGAATTACATCTAAATTTATTTGAAATCTTTTGGCATTGTGAGCTTTCTGTCTTTTTGAAAAAATGTTTTGGTCCTAGATAATTGAATGAGAATTAATGTGGGTAGCATGATGGCAATGAATATGACGACTAAAGATTATAGTGTTCTTTAACACTGAGTTTTGATACGTGTTCCCCATTTACTTGTAAAGGCGTATTTATTTGGAGTTATTTAATACTTTTAAATGTTTCTTTTAGATGAATGGCGTGAGACGTAAGCCGTTTTCTGCTGTGGATGGAGAAGCCTTCAAAATTTTTTTCAGGTAAGTACTCGTTATGTATTTCAACACAAGCGCGCCCACACGGTTTCTCAATGCGTTAAGTTGAATGCTAATTTAAAAAAGCATATTATTATACATGAAGGTTCACACTGTATTTAAGGTGCCTCAACTTTTCCATAGATTACAACGCTAACTATATCAAGACATATATATACATGTACATATCCCTACATATCCGATATTAATCAAATGCAATTGTTAGTGCAATAGCTAGACTACCATTCTGTGGATGCATTATTTTCATACAATTATCTTAAGGCAATCTCAAGCCAAGCTTTTTTCTGAAACTTTCAGAAATGTCAACAAAGATGTAAGGAATTTCAATTATAAGTATGAATCTTATGTACCTATCATACGCAAGTATCGATACTAAATATTTCTTCATATTTCAGATGCACCACATTTTCCGATTAACTGCAATAAACGGAACCTGCAAGTTACCCAGCCTTTTGTTCGGATTCCGGAACCCGACACCATTATTATCTTAAAATCGAATAAACTCATTTACAATGTCTTTGGTTTTTCATTTTGATATGAAGTAGTTAAAACGGTAATGATAATAAGGGGAATGATTGATCTGTTAGCCATGTAACAAGTTGTCAAGCGCTCTCAAAATTTTCTGTAAAGTTTAATATATCAATATTGCTCTTGTTTTTTGTTTGCGTTATCTTATTTGATTAATTCGAAATCGTTTTTACATTTTGTTAATGTGCCTTAAATTAAGTTATGTGACCAAGTAAATCAATCTTAATAGGCATTCATTTTTCAAGCCACAAAAAGAATGTATTTAAATTGTTTTCGAAATACCTGTTAGAATAATTTGTGGTTACAATGGTACTTTGCTAAATTTGTTTCTATTTCTATTGATATTTATTGATATCTTACTGAAATTTGCTGGGGAAGGTATGATATTGATCACAAATTTTCAAACCCCTCTTCTCGTGAACGTTTCGTTTAATAAAAATATCATGTAAAGATGATTTTTAATTTTCCCACTTCCATCACCTGGTCATAAAAATATACTTAATAATCCAAGTAATTATTTGTTTGATTACAAATCTTGGCATAGTAGAGTTTCGTGTACTATTCATATGTGTTAATAAAATGTTGACATCCCCTGCCCTGCAAAACCTTGCTGGCATACTTGTTTATTTTGAATTTGCCAAATTCTCTTTGAGGAAATTTGGTCTTACTTTGCTGCTCGAGTTTCTCAATTTTTCATTTTGGCATAGACCCTTGTTTTTGGTTTCGTCTGCCCTAAAAAACATCAATACCTTTGTACTTCATGTAGATTAAAATTATCTATAAAGAAACTCTCGGAAATGGAATGAAATGCTTTAGTTTTAACTTTCAATGAATTAGTGCACAGTTTTTATATTCTTTTGACTTTTACTTTTCACTCTCAAAATAAAATAGACTCGCACCACCTGTCACCCCTCAAATGAAATGGACTCGCCCCACCTGTCACCCCTCAAATGAAATGGACTCGCCCCACCTGTCACCCCTCAAATGAAATGAACTCACCCCACCTGCCACCCCTCAAATGGAATGGACTCGCCCCACCTGTCACCCCTCAAACGGAATGGACTCGCCCCACCTGCCACCCCTCAAATGAAATGGACTCGCCCCACCTGTCACCCCTCAAATAGAATGGACTCGCCCCACCTGCCACCCCTCAAATGAAATAGACTCGCCCCACTTGTCAAGTCTCCACACGGATTGGACAAAAACAAAAACCAACGCATTCTTTACTATAACATAGTTTATTTAGATTTGAATTTAAGGATTGCTAAATCAAATACATTTTAAAAGTATCAATTGGAAACTGCTTTGTACGTGCAGTATGCATGATAATTAACCTTTGATAAATTGCATGTAAAAATAATTTAATGCACATATTTTATTCAGTAAAATTGCAACATTTTTTATAGTAAGATGTACTCTTGAAATATAGAAAAACCCATTTTGTTGCACATACCAAGTACCTGAAAACGACCATTCAAAAGTTATACATACCAGTACATGCCAACCAGGCGAAAATTCATGAACATTAAGTAAATTAAACACACTTAATTGTGGAATACTGCTGAATTGTTGAAAAAAATTGCTCTTTCTTGCCGTTTTTGGTTTCAGAATTTCGTTCTTTCACAAGTGATGTTAGAACACCCAGAGTGTTTATACAAAGATGAAGGCAAATATTAAATAATGGAGAGGTTTGTTATAAACAGAATTGGATATTTCAAAGTATGCTATAAGATAATTTGGAAAAATCTACAGCATATCTTTATTTACCGTTTTAATTAGCTGCAATATTTTAGCACTGTTAACAAGATAGACCATGGCGAAACTGAAATGCAATACTAAATTTCTTTAATAACAATCGGCAGTTGAACAATTTATGTGAAATCTTAATGCGCAACGTAAGTAAACAGTGATCTCAATACACGGACAGAATTTTGGCAAAAACATTTGATAATTTGCAAAGTTTTCAAGAAATCTTTTAAGTATGTTTCGAAACAGTCCAAAGAATACAATTTGAAATAGATTAAATATGTTTTTAAAAGCCTGTGTATATAAACATCACTTTTATAACCGTCTCTGGGTCGTTTAGAAATTGAAAACTCCAAAAAGAAAAACACATTTATTCGGCTGAAATAGTTTGTCATTAGTAGGTTTACGGTTATATCATTATAAACATTTAAAATTAATAAATGCAATTTTACAATGCCAATTAAGATAAAATATCATGTGATAGCTAATCGACTTTAAAGAACGATCCTACTAAAGAGTAGGCCGACTATATGATGAAAAAATACCTTTATCCCCAAAGTCTAATTAAACGTGTAGATAGTTTGAGGTCGCCGAAAGAGTTTTAATGGAATCAGATTCATTCGAGCTCGTTGTTTGGAACAATTAAATATAATAATGATTCATACCTAAGGTATATGGCTTATAAATTGTATCAGTAAACTATTTTCAACTTCAAAAAATCGATTTGTTATCTTTAAATGCTTTTAAAATCACAACAAGATCACACGCCAATCCACCATAAAACTGTTCAATCGTGATAACTGTATGTACGTGTGCGCTCGTGTAATGAGTGTGTCCAGTTCCTTAATACAGACTGAAGGCTGGGTGTGGTTCGATCAGTCACGTGCCTTCTGCAGTCAGCAAATTAGAGTCTAGTTCTGAAATATGAAAATAATACGTTAATAACGCATTTAATTATTCTATGATGATAACATACATGTATTAACTGAGACCAAAGAAACTTCAAATGAAGAAAAGTAGCGTTGATATTGAAAGAATTAGCACTGGAAGAGCATCAAATTTATACAGAAATTCCAATAAAAAGATATAAAATTAGAGCACAAAAGAACTATACATTTCTGAACAAATTTTAATAAATGTGATACTTGTCTCTAACACTTTGAATCGAATGGCCAGGAAAAGTCAAAAGAAAAATAAGTAAAAGTAAAAACGAACACCTTCGTTCTTCTGTTTTAGTTTCAATTTTAAAATAAAACGTAATAAGATTTTAAAATCAATCTAGTATATATCAGCTTTTAGTACAGACACTCAAAGTCTAATACTAGTAAATTTAACAAATATTGAAGAAATTTCTATAAACTACAGGAGATAGAAACTGGACAACAAACTGGGACAGTTTACATGCATGATAACGGGTTCTTTCGTATTATTCAGTGACAGCGTGCCATCGAGTTTTTAAATATTTTAAAAGATGGTCACCATACAGCTTTACAAAATGTGAAGGACCACCGAGCTACACTGTCGACTGGCATTTAGAGGACATAACATGGCAATTTGAACACCCACAAACGTGAACTACGCGGTACTAGAAATGTTGAAAAGGGGCCATTGTGAGAAACATTCCGGATACAAATAACACCATGGTCATTACCGACAGAGAACAATAGAAATGCAAACAAAGTTGCTCATATAAACTACGACTTCACGTTACACATAACTTCTTTCATTACACGTCTTTGCTGCAAGATTGAAAAAGAAGTGTTACTTACAAGACACATTTGCTTCGACGCTGTTGAAAGTTCGGCTCTTCGTCTTCCTCTGACACAGTCCAGCTGTCAAGTGACAATAAATCCGAAAACAGCTCGCACTGTGCCCACTGACTTATTGTTATGTAAATCACAACAGGTAGGTCGCACGTGACTAGGAGAGTTGCTGCTGAGATCATTCTCATGGAAATAGGCGAAAATAATTACGAATGGCCTGACAGATAAATTGATGAAATCAGACTTTTAGGCGAGTGAGACATAGGGACGAATAAAAGGATCGTTTTATTCGTCGAATATGAGGATTCATGTTAATTCACCGTATAGATCTAAGTTTCCAGTGTCTACTGAAACGCAGTATGCAGTAGGGGTGCGCTTGAATAATGCGATTTATGCAAATAGTTAATGTCCGCATCGTTAGTTTGCCGCAAATAACTTTATAAACCACTGTTAAAATAAGTAGGAGCTATAGTACAATTTAAAATAATTATTTTAAAAAACAAAACACGATAAGATAAATGTATTTGCAGACATATTTACAAAAATGGTTATAAAATCAAGTTTTGACTGTTTCTGCATACATGTACGAGTCACGGGCGGTTCCAGGATTATTTGAAGGGGGGGCCGGAACGACAAGCTTTGGATGCGATGCCGACCATCGCCCCCTTGTTTTGGGCCTCCTCAAGGGCCCCAAAACTTTTTTGGTGTTTTGGAGAGTAAAACGTGCCCTTTGGTACGGTTTAGAACTATCATTTAGCTAGTCAATATTCTTATCTAAGAGGGGGAATATTGATGTGATATGTTTTTCAGAAACCGAAGGGGTGGGGGGGGGGGGTCAGGACCCCCTCACCCCCCCTTTCTAAATCCCCCACTGCAAATGTACCAGTATACACCATACCTGTAGTAACAAGCATTTTGATAAGAAAGAATGGGAGGGGGGTGAAGTAAGGTTTATCTTTTGCAGAAAAAAAGACCCATCTTAGTATATTTTATTCTTAAAAACATGTTTTCAGTTCAAATGAATCCGTTGTGCCATGTGTTTCTTTAAACATTTTATCATTGGAAATGGCTCAACTGCTTGATTAAAACAGATGATTTTTTACTTTTATCATATATGTATAATCTAGCCATGAGCAGAAAATAGCCAAATAAAGAACCAGAATAAATTCAAAACAATTTATTTTCATTAAAATCTATTCTGGCCAGCTTGATATATACTAGCAATACAACATTCTGTATCAACAAAGTACTCTTATAAACAAGTACCAGCAGAAAAATGTGGCTGCAAATATAATTGTTCATAAAAATAAAAATTGTGCACATGTTAGCAACTTAATAATTATGATTTCACACATTATAAGTAAATACTAGTATGGTACAGTAAATTAACACTGAAAACTATGATTTATATGGTCTATGACATGAGGTCTATTTGGATGAGCAGTTACTTAATATTAGTAATGATTGATACAAATGGCACATTCCAAGCAGTATACATTTATAACATTGCCCCCAGTGTTTTATTTTCCTTGCCAGTATAAAATATCCAAACAAGCCAGGGGGGATTTGGGGGGTTCAAAAGAACCGCCCCTTTTGCTGGGAAAAGGTCCACTCTGGGTAAAATTTGATCTAGGTACATGAAGTTTTTATGGGAAAAGGTCCACTTTTTCAGAAAAAGAACCCCCCTTTTGAAATTGCTGGCTACGGGCCTGGATTTAAGACATATTTTCAGAATCATGCCACATTGTTTTCTGAAATTAAAGTATGATTATGTTAGTGAATTAACTCCACTGGTCTGGACATTAATGAAAAGAAGTAGGAAGGGACACACGTCTGATTTTGTAAATTCTTTGCCATGATTTTTGGTATCATGGTATAAGACTGAAAATGTGAAAAAAAAAATGTAGATAACATACACTGTGTATAATTGTTAAATCATCACCATTTTCCAATAAGGCCAAACCATGCGCTAATATGCTCACAGTTTGGTAACATTAAATCCTTTTACAGCAGAGTATGAGACTACTTTTGTTTAAGGTCTTAAACAGTACTGCAAAGTAACAACTAAACACTGCAAAAAGTTACATTTTTACCAAAACTGTAAAATATGATCTGTTGAACCAGTAGTGTGCTTGGTAAGACACAGGTAATTCAGTTAATCTGCAATATGCAAATTGGATACAATTCATTACATTGAAGAAAAAGAGGCAATGGGGGTGTAACAGTGAGACTAATACATGTAATACACTTATCAGTAAAGTAATCAGTAAAATGAATTTATTCACAGATGTACCCTGTAAATCTCACAATGAGGTACGGTATGTTCCATCAGATCATGCAGAAAAGACAGATTCACCAACTGACTAACTTAAACCAATATTTAAACCACAAAATGTCCCCACATCACCGGATTACATACTGTGTAGCTTATAAACTGGCACTAGTGTCTTCTCACCATGGAATTTTAAATCCCATGTTCATCAAGTCATTCCTCTGAGGACGGCAATAAGAGACCATTCCCATAACCCTATTGTACTAGCAGGATCGATCTATCTCCAAGGGGATTTCGCTAAATTGCTTTCAGTTTAAGCATGCACAAAAGTTATTTACCCCCCTAGCAGCTTCAGTGGGCATGACAGACATTTGAGCTGTTTAAACTGAATGCAATTTAGCAAGAAGCCCCTCAGAGATGGATTGATCCTGCTAGAACGATAGCTTTGTGGGAACCCAGTTTTAGTCTATTTCCAGTCCAAGTTAGCCCATTTATGATCATGGCTTTTCTGTATTAGCACAACAGTATATTGCTATTACTACGCCACAGCAAGTGAGTCAAAACGGGTTGAGTTGGTATTGGGAGCAGAGTAAAATAATATAGTTCACATCATAGCAAACTATGGTAAAAGTACAAATAAATAACAGTAAACTTCAACATTTACAACTGTATTTAAAAATGCTGCAATCCATAGCTTTTCAGTATAATCATAATAACACATAAACCTTATCCAAGGCAGCGAGGAGAGAGTATATTTCACAGGATAATGGCACTGTACACATAGGCACAATACTCCAGCAATGCATTTAAAGCTAGGAAAAGTACAACAAGACATATTTCAGTTGTAAAAGGTTTCTTTGATTTGAATAATGAATAATAATCCTGTTTTGCTTTGATACAAACTGAGAAAAGATATTTTATATGACAATGGCAGGCATATTTTTAAAGGGGGAGGGAGGTGAAAGAACAGAGAGGGAGAGAGAAATACTCTCTTCAAACAGTGAGAAAGCAGAATATATGATTATCCTTATCATGTACATGTACTATTAGCATAGTTGAAAGCTAGGTAAACCTTGGTCCACTATTCCCTTGTAAAAGAAATCATATTGCACCTATGTTCTTTTCAGATTTATAGGATACAACACGGAGTACCTACTGAGCAAACACCCTAAGTTTCAGAGCACCGACTGTGACTCTCCTCTACCCAGTTTTGACACCGTTTCAGCATGCTGATTTTCAGGGTACTAACAAGTGACTCTCCTTCTCTACCCATGCACTGAGGCATACTGTACGACTCTTTCAATATTTTGGAAGTCACCTGATGGTACAGGCACATAGCCTGGGGAGTTCGGAGGGTTTGAAAGAACGGCCCTTTTTGTCAGAAAAGGTCTATTCTGGATAAAATTTGATCTAGGTACACATAGATTTCATTGTGAAAGGTCCACTTTTTGAGAAAAAGACCCCCCCCCTTTTTTTTAAATTTTCTGGCTACAGGCTTGCAGTACATGTACTGGTTCTAGAGGGGAGTTCTCGGTTGACTCTGAAACCCAGAGATTTCATTATTCCCCATGGGTCCAGTGGTTTTGAAGCACTAGCACAGTAGCTGTTAAGTACTGGCATGGCAGCTACTCTCAGGTTGACTTGGTGCTATAGTTTGTCAGGGATAATACAGATCTTCTACTTTCTATCCTAAGGGTAAGTGATCTCTTGCCAGAGCTCTGAAAGTGGACAATCATGCGCATTATGTACTGATCTTCAATTTGGTTTAATGGCTGAGGACAGCTACACGTAGAATGGCTAGTACAGATGTTGTCACAAGCTCTACATGTACAAGTTACAAGCAGGATTTGGGAACAATGGATGCAGACAGACAAAAAACCCAACCAGCTTCATCTGAAATTCTTCAAATGCATTAACACAAATTAGATGAAAAAGAACCCCTCAAATGATGATTCATAAAAGCAATGTAAAATACACTTCCTCTTAAGGCACCTTTCTGTACCAAGTTCTGAACTCGCATCCCACTTAAATAAATTTTGAAGACTTGTGTTGTTTTTTTTAGCTTAAACCAAGAGAACTGTTCAATGTATTTTTCACAATTTTGAATAAAAATGCAATTTTTGATCAAGGGCTGCAATAACATCATTTCAATAGGCTGTATCATGCCTCTGAAATAAAGGTACACGCTACCTTGAAATAAAACTGAAAGATTATAAAAATAAAAAGTAATGACAAAGACATGATACTGAAGTTCAATTCCAAATAATTAATTTTGTTAGTCTTGTACATGTGAATACTGTGCTATATCAAAGATCTAAGCAAGAATGGGTTGATTTTGACATCTGAATGCACAAATTTGAAGGATATACAACCTGAAAGAAAAGAGTATAATGCATACTTGGCATATACTACAGTAGTACATGTACATACAAGGCAAGGAAGATGGGAATGGGTTATTAAGAATTTTGGCACAAAAAATACATATATAAGCATTTTTGAACTTAAGACCTTAAGCCATACTCTTTTTATTTCACATGTGTATATAAAACAAACATGAGAGAATGTTTTAAATACGTGTTGTAATAAAAGTCAAAAGGGGAACTTATTATTTGAACATTGAAGAGTTACTTGTACTTTATTTCAGAGTCAGGAGAAAGTATGCCTTAAGAGTAAGACACATCTATCAAGCTTGTAATGAATGAGGTGGTCAAGCATAACTTAATGCACAGTGTCCAAGTGCAGCCAGCTGCTTGATTTTGGGGCCGTAGCAATAGTCCGAAGGTTCAATAGTCCGAAGGTTCATTGGTCCGAATATTCACTATAGAACCTTCGGACCAATGAACCCTTGATTAAAAAATCGATGAAAATGTTACCACTTTTCGGACCAATGAACCTTCGGACCAATGAAATTTCGGGCTATCGAGACGTCCCCTTGATTTTAGTGGAAAGTAATTACATGGAGGTGCAGTAAAAAGCATATATATCATGCATCACAACCACAAGCGGATCCAGAAAATAAAAGTGGAACCAAGCACAGTTCAGCTTCCATTTTCTTTTGCCCAACCCTTAATGATGAAATGTAGTTGAAGTACTTGAAATATAATGCATATTTTCAAAGAATGTTTCCACCGCCTTTCTTTGGGAAAATGATTTGGCTTCCAGATATCCTCTAGATCCGCTTATGAAAAATTTAATTGATCTTCCATAATCCACAATCACAAACCATTTACATTTCCAGTTATACACCCAGTTGTACATGCATTCAATCTCTTCTTGTCAACAAAAAGATAATATTCGCTAAGAGAACATATCTGTATCTGTCCATATACGTCTAAGAAGACCACTACTGGTATGAGATAGACGAGATATATGCCCTTAGACTAACCACAATGTCGTCCCACAATCACCAACACAAAATCTGCTTATATGTATACTGTTTAAAAGAGCAAGACAGTGTGCTAGCTGCCCCAATTTATATACATGGATGTGGTAAGGACTTATAACTAGCTTTACATGGTATATCTTACACATTTGCTACATTGTAGCCATATCTCTGGGCAGCCAACTCATTTGAACATTTTCCATGTACTTTTGACAATCAATTTATATGCAGTTTTTGGGGGCAAAACTCGTGAAAAAAATTTTATGGACTTTAAGAACCTACAGCAGGCTTATAAAGTTTCACATATTTAGAAGTAATTTCCGAAAGTGCATGTACATGTTCGTACTGCATGCGCGTGTGCAGTAGCACATCTTGGGCATATTGTGCAGTACTACTTCAGTCTTGGCATCCTAGCTTAAATGTTGACAAACCTAAAACTACTTAAGTTTTGTATTTCTTTAGTGTGACAGTATTGACAACAATTTTTGAACATCGGACACTGAACACCATGCATCCCCCATAGGGTAATTCCTACATGTATTGAGCCTTAGTTTCAGTAACATTGAACACCTTAAAATATACAAGTAGGACCATTGCATCCTAGATTCATACACAAAACAGTTTTCATTCTTTCCAAATATGCTCTCCAGCGCGGTCAAATAAAATGCTGTAGACACAGTTTGATGTCCTTTTGTGTGGAATTATAACAAAAGCTACCAGGTCTCTTGCCTGCCTGGAAATTTGGTGCTTTTAAGCATTGAAATACTTCAATTTTTCTAGATATGAAAGTGCACTTCTTTTTTCATATGACATGCAGATTATTACAGATCACACAGTGAATCATGCACACTGTACATATTGACATGCAAAAAGATCCTCATAGTCTTGATTGCATTAGATGTGATCTTGAGTGCAATGGGAGTGATCTCGATTGCGTTAGGTGAGCCGAGCCTGACACAATCCTTCCTTGCTGAGGCAGGTGAGTGAGTGCAGTGAGAAAGAAGTCACGGAGCAGTACCCGTAGTAGATCCAAAACTTGGAAGCTTCGGGATAAAGAGGCCACGGGAGGACTAAAAAAAGGCAGAACATGACAAAAAATGAAGCAGCAATATCAGAAAAAGAGAAAGACACACACTCAGACGCAAAGCTGCTTGGAAATCACTCACTGGATAGAACTTAGTATAATAATATGATCCTTTCAGTTCAGATGTCCTTTAAGTTAAACTCATCTGGACATAAATGCCACCAGAGCAACCTTAGCATATTTTTGCCCAATCCACATGCCTTTATTAAAAAAAAAAAAAAAAACTTAATCTCTCCTGTTAAGAGGATCTTGCAGTTAGTTGATATATATATATCAATCATTGTTTTTTAACTGTCATTTTGATATAAAGAATATCAAAACCAATATATAATGGATGTAATTTGGCAGGGCATTCTCTTGATTTTTTTAAACCATGATATCAAATGCTTAATTCTGTTGCACTTCCTGAGTTAATTCCACATCCCCGAAAAGATTGGTTTCAAATTTTAGAAGAAGAAAATACAATAATCAATGACTGAACTGATAGGATTCTATTAAATGCAAGTAGTACACACAATTAGTGATAAGTTTTCATTCATAGATTGAGTAATACAGGTTACTTCAGGTATGAGAAGGCTTTATCAAAGTCACAACAAATAGAACATGGGTATGTTTATTAATAATAATAGTAATAATAATAATAATATATCCATTTGTAATGCCTAACATATTGATATGATCTGCCTGAGTGTGTAAGCTTGTATTGATGTGTGTGTGTGGGTGTGTTATAAAATCTATGATTTTATGATGACAATATTAACACAACAATAATTTAAGTTATTGCTTTCCATGATCTACTTACATGCTTTATGTGTTATTTGGCAATAAATAATTGTATCTTATATATATATATAATATATCTATCTACATGTATAAAACCTACCACACAATTAAATACTGATATTTCATTTATTGCACTTAAGTACAAATTGACTAAGAAATGTGATCCAAAAATAGTAAATCTAACAATTTCAGAAATATAACTTGACTTTGTTTTGAGTGATATATTTATAAGTCTGCACACATATACTCTTGTACTATTGCACTGAGGGTTTAAAACAAAATAAGAAACTAATAATAATAATAATAATGAAGAATTAAAATATAATAAATCAGGAAGGCTTGCAAGACAACTGAAAAACCAATCATCAAACAAGTTTTTGAAAATTATTGCACAAGATGTCAACTACTGTTATAGAGATAATGTCACCCTGTTTTGTCCGACACTATTTATGTATATGTATATGTATATATAAACAACCCTCCCAATTATCTGTGAAACAAGGCAGCAAAGCTGTCAAATGTACAGACAAAAAGCAGACAATAACAATGCACAAAACCGGCTACTGTCAATTCTGATGCAAAAGTACATTATGCTTAACTGCAAATTCAACATCAAATTTTAATTATGCTCAACAGGTAATACCAATGTAAGTGAAATGTGTAACAAGCGTAAGGCTTCAGGCCCATGGGAGTTTAAGTTCACACTTTGAAAATGCCAGAATGAGAAAAATGAAAATTTCACATAAAACTGCTTAAATTCAATAATAAATGATAACCCATTTGAGCTGGCTTTCTAATTTGAACTGCATGCCAATCNGCAGAATTGGTTAGAATCTATGCTAGGTGAAAATATATGTACAATGACAAGAAAATGCCAAAAGCAGGAAACGGTGAACAACCAGTAGTTTGTCATTTTGCACTTCTCTCACAGCTTCACTTCTGTCTATTAGTCAGAAATTTACCGCACAGCAACAGATTCAGCAGTTTCTTGCCAAGGTAGCACAGTTTGCCCAGTGGGCCATTTTGCTTCCATGCAACCCCATTTAGAACTGACACCAAAGACATACAGTGTATCCAGTATAACTAATGAAATGTTTTTACATGTACTTTCATAAACTTGTATATACCACATGAAAATAGGAACATTTTTAGGCTTGCTTTCAATACATATGAGGCTACACACATCTACATCTAGATGCAAGTGGCATGTGTTAGTGTTTTTTTTTTTTTTTTTTTTTGAGAAAAAAAAGGACACATGTCGTTGACACTGAGGTGTACTGTTTGTTCAGGTAAAGCACATTATCATAATAGCTGGAACACCTTTTGTAAGCAAAGAGCACAGAAGTAAGTTGTTGAGATTAAGGCATAATGTGTTTCTTGAGAAAAAGCACCGTGTTTTAGTTGTGATAAGGCATTGGTTTTTGGTTGGATTATAGCGATTTTGATTCTCAAGAGATTGCACTAAGATTTTATGATTTGTGCCTACAAGGTCCATAACAGCATACCAGTCAATTACATTATATTAATTATTTCATTTGTTTTTGTTTGTTTCTGTTTGCTTCATCTCATACAAGGCCTACATGGAAAAGAAAACATGTTTGCTTCAAGGGGAAATTAAAGTAAAATATATCAGCATTTTCAATTTTAAGCCACATGTTGTCTATTCATAAAAGGAAATACTTTCTAAAACTTAGTATACATGTATATGTTAAATGCCAAAAGAGGTGTAATCTTCATAAAAAAAAGTAAAAGAAAACTCTTAAAGAAAGTTTACGATTTTCAAAGATCATAGGAAATTACCATACATAAAAATACAATAACACCTACTATTCTTCAGAAAATGCTGCCAGGCACTTCATAATCTCAAGAAAATTTCATTCATCCAAAAATGTCATATGTAACATTATAAAGATAAAATGGAAACCTTAAATGAAAAATTACCAATCAGAATAACATTCATAAAAGAAGCGTCAAATGAAAGTATTCTATAATTTGTGTGACATGAAAAAGAGCAAAAAATAGGTGAAAAACAAATTGATAAAAAATGTACTGAAATGTAACACAAAGTAATGTCCACATTATCATTTTTAAGACTACTGACTGGCAAAGTGCTTTTTAAGATAGTTTAAAATGAATCATTGTGTTATTTGCTAATCAAATACTTCACAACATTATAATATGTGACAGATTTAACCAAGTTTCACTTATGTGTTACATGTGACAAATTGTACTGCAGTCTTGTAAAGTTGATTGTGTTAGGAGTGACAAGTACATGTAGCCATTGTGCGGATGTGACAATTTGTACAACTGTGGCAGTTGTATTAGCAATGAAATTAGTTGGTGCCAGTTAATATCGTTCAAGTTAATGTAGTACCATGCTAACTATTACTACACAAAATGAGTACTTCCACATAAAAAACCAATAAATATATAAATAATAAACAAAAACATCAACTGAAAAGAGTAAAATTGCCCTTATAATAGCTTAACTACTTTTTGTAACACCTTGCAATACCAAAATTGCTCACTCCTACACACACCAAATTTCATTTCAATAATCACATATCTGTTCATATATATATATATATATATAAATCTCAGTCACATATTCCTTCATATATAGCAAATAAAGGTAATTGGTTCCAGTGTTGACAGCAAGCAAAAATGTCCATGTAACAATGCCATGCCGTAACTTCTCACTGCCGTTTCCTGTGCTTTAGTAGTGATGAGAACAAAACCCATCCAGTGCCCACAAAACTAAAGATATAACATGCAAAGTCAAGATTGTGCTTCCATAATAATAATAATAAAGGCGAACAATGAGGGCAGATATGACATGTATGTCATATGTTATATGATAATCAAAGTAGTAGTAGAAGTAGTGTTTTTGTGCAAGGAGTAACTGAAAGTTCCATCCATGCAGGTTGACATACAAGTCCCACCACCACCACTGAATGAGAAAATCCTGCTTCCTTCAATTAAAAAATCACAGTCATTGTCCATGCCACACATAGTAAAAGACAACCTTGACCTAGTTACCAAGGTCATTTGGTTATCAAAAGGAGGCTAAGAACACAGAGAGGCCAAAGGTCAAATCAAAAGTGGCGGGACACACTGATTAATGAGTCATGAAGAATAGTTTGAGGCTCCTGTGGCCATTTGAGCGAAGCGCATCCAGGAGATTTTTCGAGCTAGTACCTTTTTCTTGGTGCCGTTCAGGAACTCCTTGTACATGTCTGACCTGAGGTATCTGGTGTAACTGTCATTTTTCATTAGTTTAAATATATGTTCCTGTAAAAATGAAGAAGAAACTAGAGGATCAGAGAGGCGATACCGCCTCCGAATATTGTACCACCAGCTGGAGCAAGCGCATTCATATAGACCCCCACATATACAAAATAAGGAACACAGCCACCAGTCTTGTGCTTGACAAGCTGTAAAAATGCAATCAACAAGAATTTTCAAAATATGCAAAAAATATATATATTACTAAAAATGGTACAATCAAAGTTAAGTTCATCGCAAGGTAGGTCAAAGGTCAATTCCAAGGTCACAGTAAATTGCCAGTATATGACTTCCTATTCAACTTCAATAGTAACTATGGGCCTATCTCTGCCAGGTTTGGAGTTAAAAGAGAAAGAAATTAGCAGAGTTCAGTTCATGATAATAAGTAGGTCAAAGGTCAATTTCAAGGTCACACTTAGATTGCCAGTATATGACTTCCTATTCANTAAAATGGTTTTCCACTTATCTTGTTATCGGTGCTGCATATATGCTGAAAAAAGTGAAAAAACAGCATGACTTCCCTAAAAATGGCCCGATCATGCTGATTTTCGAACTTGACCTGCGTATTAGGAATATTCACCAGTTCTGTAAGTTTCAAGCCAAAAGAAAAAACGGTGTTCCACTTATCGTGTTATCGGTAAAAGTGCACGACGGCGACGACGGCGACGACAGACGCAGATGATGGCTATATGTACAGACACATCTGTGTCTGTACATAATAATGGACACATAAACACTTATTAATGATACCAGTGTAATATATTTCTTTATTTTAGATCACAATCAAATACGTCTGCAATAGCTGCACATGAAGCTGTAACTCAATTCACATTATGATCCAACAAGAAATGGCTTGATAAAAAATAAGGCCAAAATAGGTGTTTGAGTGTTATGTATGGCAGAATTTTTGATACAACAACTCCCAGCAAGATATTTTGACAATGTTACTATTTCAGTGCATGAAACAACTTATCTTAAGATGAGCAAACCTACTTTAAATTTTCTCCACTAAATTCCTTGGCAAGGAATTTCCCAAAGTGATCTCTACCAGCTGGATCCTTCAGCAGTTCATAAATGCTAAATGTCCATTTTTTCACTCTCCTTTGTGGTAAATCCTTCCTGTAAACAATTAAAGCTTAATTTTTTACTGTCACCATAAGGATGAATCCTTCATCTTCACCTTAGAGGCCATTCAGAATGAGAAGAGTTGGGTGTTAGCTAGGCCACGACCTAAATATGGCCGACCTACATGAAAGGAAGATCGCTTAAACTTGTAATGGTCTCTCCGCCTCTCACACGGCTCTCCATGCATCGTCCCTCAACCGGTTGAATTGACCTGAGATTTAATTACAGGATTAAGCGGTCTTCTTTTCATGTAGGTCCGCCATATTTAGGTCGTGGCCTCGCTAGCAATCGGCTCTTCTCATTCTGAATGGCCTCTAAATTACTAGCTGTTCTGTTGATTAGAAAGCTTGCAGCAAGTATTCAATCTAGATAATCAATGATTCTGTTCATTCTGACATTACCAGTAGTTTCAATCCATCAAATAAAAACTTGAGTCTTTGAATTAGGTACCATACAGTCTAATAACAAAGTTCCTTAAAATAAAGATAATTTAAATGGGACATAGGGAATCCTGAAGTGATTTAAAATTCTCCTTCTTAACAGCTAATTCAAAGATATAACTAAAACAATCAGCTCTGTTTTCATGCAGATGCAAACGTTCTTTATTATTTAAGGCATGGCAACTTTTGATTAACCGATATCTCATCTTATACAAAATCTATGCCATGTGAACTTTAACATCACATTTATTCAATATGTTATCTTAAACATCACACCTAACACAATATTTGCCATAGAAAACCACAGGCACAACTAACACACTGAGCAGAGTACCACTCACATTGTCTTCTCCAGATCCCATAGCTCTGCATTGTCTACTATCCAGGGATTGGCATATTCTTGGGGTGTTATGAAGGCATCAAACTCGGCATACTGTTCATAGTACGATGTGTAGCTAAAATATAAACAGCACATTACAGTGAGCAATTCTACAAAAAAAAAGTGGACAAAGAAAAGTTTTTTAATGTTTTCATGAGAAAAAAAACTTCCTCCCTCTCCCCACTCAAAAGTTATTCCTTTTTGATCTACTCCATCATAACATACAACAAAGTGAAAGTGAATTTTATTTTCAGCAATTCATGTATCTGTATGAAGGTTGAGGAATTATAATAGGAACAATGATTCATGAAAAACTTGCCACTTCAGGCATATATACAGTGCATAAATATACATAACTGCTTAGAAAAGTTAATTGTTAGCCTGTAGTTGTATTAGGTTTTATCTGGAATCAATGACAACAGAATTGATCTTTATTCACTGACATGCTCAACTGTCAACTTTTATCTTTTGAAAATTTGAATGGGATGTTTGTAGTCGATATTTTTGTTTATCTTGCAAATTGTACAGGGTGACAAAACAAAACAAACATAAAAAAATCAGAACCCATAAATAATTTAATAAATCCTACAAAAATCCATCAAATTTCAAGAAATTTGCTGGACTTTAACTTCAATATGTGTATGATAATTCCCTAGAGTTTCAGTTATCTTGGTCAGTTTGCATAAAAGTTATGTTCTTTTTCAAAATATGCTCTAAATGGCCTCTGAGGCATTGGATGTACACTTGCATACATTGTGAAAAAAAAAATGGTCAATTTCTCAAAAACATTGTTCCTTCAGGATTTTCCTTTGGGGAATGATCATGCACATATCAAAGTTAAAGTCCATCAAATTTCTTGAAATTTGGTGGACCTTTGCAAGATTTATTTAAAATTCTTAGGGGTTCTGTTTTTTTTTTTTTTCGGTCACCCTGTATATAAAGTAACCAAGGGTATAGTATATATGGCAGTTATTTTTATATATTAATAGGGTATAGTCTGCTATTATACAGGTTGTTTTATGTTATATGAGTATCAGTGGATCAAAGTGAAAGGGAAGCGTGGGATATCATTTGCATAGCACCTTTATTACCTTTCAGCCACTTTGGACACTTTAACCCATCGCCTTCCCAGCCTTCTTCTGTAGCATTCAATCTGGACGTGAAATATAAAGAATATCACATGTACAGCGTGATTTAAAAATTGAATTCAAAAGAGCATTAAATAATTAAATGTGTCTGAGAAATTCTGATACAGCATTTTTTTTAGGATACGTTATAAACCCATATTTTAATTTCCAGTCAACAATTTGTTACATTGTTGTTAGGGCAGAGAGATTACATAGTAAAAGCAGTCTTGTTCGGCCAAATATACTGTATTGCCTAGCTTTTTCCTTGGTTTTAATGAGACTTTGAAGGTTCGTGGTAAGCTGGGATAGAGAACACAAAAAATTTTTTGAACTGTGTCCACTTCTTACCTCTTGTGTCAGACCTTGAGCTGGATCATGGAGATCATTTACTGATACACCAGGACTCAATCTGCCTCCAGGCACTATGTACGAGATCTATAAATTTAAAGAGTATGCATTATTATACGATGCTGAATTGGCCCTAATAAGGTTTTGTTCTCAATAGGAAAACACATAATATATATTATTTCTGAATATACACATTCCATATTTGGAATGGTATTGGTGACTTTATAAAATCAGCTTAAGGTTAATTGCATTGCCTCAAGAAGAAATTTTAATACAATCAACTTTTGCTTTATCATACCAGCACCGACTCGTTCAAATCAACCCTGTCCCTAGGCAGTCTTGCTTTAAATGAAACACCCATGCATGCACGCACGCACACACTTTCAACATTCTCCTGAGACATCGGAGCTACAGCTGCAGAGGTAATTATAAACTGCCTCTTAAGACACAAAATTTGTACATGTACAAAATTTCACTGAATAGAATTAATTCATGCGTACAATCCTCTAACCCCTCCTATGATTAAACACAGGCTGTGTAGTAAGTAGAACCTTGCATAAGACTATTACTATTGTATAAGCACAACTCCATGAGCCAAATTACATTCCCAGCATCTGCTAGTACGTATACTACAGGGGATCTACATACAATGTATTAATAGCCCAGTGTTATTAAAGACAAGATAGTTGACTGAATTATTCTCCCAGTCACTGTATGGTATATCAAGATACCAGAATATTATTATTGATCTACCACTTAATGGTACACATGGGGGAAGTCTATCACTGGATGTTCACAATATGTTCAGAGAAATTTTATAATACAGAAAATGGCTATACCTTGGGTACAGTATATACTCAATATAATATTGGTAACAAGCATTTTTCTACTGCTTTGATTAACTATTCAGCTGCCATTATATTGAAATGATTGTAACAATGGCTGTATACCCCCATTTTCAGACAACTACTTCAAGCAATTATACCCCCCCAACACACAAACTTTTAACAAATGAAATGTTTCCAACCAAGGTCAATGTCAGGCCTTCCCAACTACCAGACTCAGCACCTACGGGTCCAGTATAAACCGGTTTATCAGACCACACTACCCGTTTTCAAGGTGTGTGTAAGATCGCATTACAGAGAATCAGCCACCACACCGATTTTGCCTGGTGCGCGATGTGATAGCAATGATCCTAAGCGGGGTTAGAAAGTAGTGCATCTCATCTAGATTCATGCGCTGCTGCAATTTTCTCTGTTTATGCTAAAATCTGAGAGTACCGCAATTTTTAACATAAAATTTAGGTTCGGACATAGCCAATGATGTTTTGTAAATAAGAACTTGCAAACTTATGTATTAATTTAGAAAAGTAGACCTAATTTTGATAGCGGAAGCATATTCTGTCGGGGGTTAAATATTTTCATGACTACCGGGATGGACGAGATTGAGGGCAGGGGTAATCCTAGAGAGGGGTGAGAAACGTCCATTGTTCTCGTCAGCGAGGCTGTCCTTTTTCAGGGTTTGTACGCACGGACAGAAACTTAAGTATTGTGGGAACGTTACTAATGAAGCCACTGGTAGTACTAGTAGATATCAGCCTGTAGTCTTGAGCAAGCGCCTCGATGACGAATGAACAGTTGTCAAAAACAAAAGACCCAGGTGTGGTATTTCAACTACTGTCCATGCGTGCCGCAACGACCAAACCTAATTGCTCCTCAAGGTCACAAAACAATAACCGGTACTGACGGCTAGGCTCGTCTTAATCATATAAGTAGCGCGTTTCCACCCCTTGATTGAGGGAGTCGTCTGTTGTATTCATACGACTCCTACTTGACGAAAACGAGGCGCGATACCCGGATGACAGGTAGGCTTACAGAATTTGTGATAGGGTATGATACTCTTTTATGCGATCTGACACACACCTTGAAAACGGGTAGTGTGGTCAGATATACCGGTTTATACTGGACCCGTAGGTGCCGAGTCTGGTAGTTGGGAAGGCCTGAATGTTTTTATAACTTACCCTTGCTGGACGTGCTTTATTATTCTTACAGGCCTTCTTAATGTCTACTTCTGTTGTATTTACACACCCAGGCTTAAAAGAAAAAAAAAAGAATTAAGCTGTACTACATATCAAAAATATATGACCTGTCCTAGAACATAATGTTATCTCTTTTAATGAAATGTTCTTAATCTGTTCTAGGACATTCTGAAGGGCTTCCCAAAAAACAGTGTTCAAACGGTTCTATTCATTACAGAACAACATTATAACTGTAAAAAAATACACCAAATGTTCTAGAGTAGATTGAGAACCAATAGTGAACGTCAAATGAGACAAATTTTAACAGTGGAAGCACTGTCAACTTCAAAAAATCCATGGGTAACCAACCGCAGCCAAATCAATATCCAAATGCATCTTCACATCCCACACACTGTCACACCTAGCACAATGTACAATGTTCCTTACCACAGGCCTATGGACATCCCAAAAAGCCCTTTCTTGACTATCCAGAACTTTGCGTTCAAGTTTATCTCTCTTTTTGTCAACTCTGGAAAAATAAATTTTAATAATATCATGAGACAAAAATATATTCATTAAACCCTATGGTCCCTATATTAAGTGAGATAGTTTGGTTTAAATTCCAAGTATTTTTGTCAAAATTTCAATCATTTATTCATTTTTTTCTTTTACTTTAGGATAAGAGGGACAATACCACCTCCTGTTAGATTAAGCACATCCAAGAGATAATAATAACACAAAGAAATAGTACAAAAGTTATCAATTTTAAGCACACCAGTGAATATATATATATATCTTTTGACCACTAACCTAATGGCCAAATGAACAGATTATGATATACTAGGTCTGTACATAACCATGGTTATTTCATTTTAATTTTCTTCAAAAGTATTTTTGCCAAAATTTTTCACCATTTCCCTAAATTGTAATACTATATATATATATATATATATATATATATATATATATATATATATATATATCAGTCATTCTTTGCTAGTGGTGCACTGCGGGGGGACCATAACAAGAATGTTATTTAAATTTAGATAGCCGACCAAATTCTCATGACATCGTTGTGTATGTTTCAATAACAAATCAAAGAAGCTGCATGAGCAAGGAGGATATTGTTATAAAAGCAAAAGAAGAGAAAAAGCAGAAAATATATCGAAATTACCCTCAAAATGGCGTCTTTTTTTGTGGAATTTCGACCCTACCTCTATTTAGGAACAGTTTGTTTAGGGTTTGAATGAATTATTGAAGCAGGGAATACACCTACTGCAAGAAGATATAATAAACAGAATGTGCAAATGGTTATTTAAATAAAAATTTATTTGAAGTCACTGAAAAATGATCACAAAATTAGCTTAACTTACGATACATGCNTAGCTGAAAAGACAGTATAGAGATATAGAGATATAGATATATATGGTATACAGCTTATGAATTAATAAGTTGCAACATGGTTTGTGCCTGCACACATTAGCATCACCTGCATCTCATAGTATTTAAAGTGTTTCAGGCAGGATTATTTCTGAAAACAAAAAAAAACAGACAGGTCGCATCATACACGGTAAGTTACCTAGTTCTTCTTCAAAAGGCATTTTTTCAGTCATGTACATTTTTATCTTTTTTTAGAAAGATAGATAGATACTAGTACATGTAGTACATGTAGATAGTTGGGAAACTTAAGTTTGAAAAAAAGTCTGAATCTTTTTTATATCATTTTAGGCTAACAATGATATAAATTACAAAACTTGGTTGAGGTCTGCAAAAGTAACAATATATTGTCCAGAAACAAAAATTTACAATTGTTTTTAATCATATAATTTTATACCTTTTAGTGAATGTCAAATTAATGTACTCTAAGATGAAATTAACAGTTGCAACATTGTTTCCTTAGCTCTGATTGTTAATGTTATTGTTAATGATAAAATAAAATAAAAATATTATATTGATTTTAAGCCTTAAATATATATATAAAAAAAAAATGGCCAGAAGATTTGACATAAATAAGAGCAAGTACTTAAGAATACAATTATCAAGGTATATGTATCACGTGAAATAGAAAGGTAAAGGTATAAACCAGGTGTGGCATTTTTGCAAAGACAGCAGCATTGAATTTTTAATGAACCATGATATAATGACTGTATAATTAAGAATGTTCTTAAAGACTAAACCAAGTCTAACTGTTCCTTATTGACTTCCATAACAAATTTCTGCCTGACAAAAAACATACTGGAGAAACAGACTGGAAAAACTACAGTATAAAGAATGACAGCATCAAAGCAGTTGCTACAATGGTGCCTATATGGCGTTATTGCGATAGTGTGTGTACTTTTTGGGCTTATGTGGAAACAGTCAGGTGAGATTTCTATACACCACCTCAAGACTTCAGTTGTGTTTCTTTATACTCTCTTTTCTCTTTTTATCTCTCTCTTTCTCTTTGACACACGCCGTCACACAGTCACATATGCACAATCATACTTGTGGTAGCTCAAAAAAAAAAAAAAATAAATAAATAAATAAATAAAAGACTCATTTTAAAACTCAGTTACTTCAACAGTTTCATAGCTATTTCAATGAAATCTTAAGTATTTTAGGAAAATCATTTTTAATAAATGCTGAAAAATTTCAACACTCTAACTTTCTAAGGGTGCATTCCCAGAGATTTAGATCAATCCAGAGATTTAGATTTAGATCAACCTAACTCCCTGGGGGTTCATGCTAAATTGCAGTCAGCTGAGCGTGCACCATAGTTAATAACCCCCTTTCAGCTTTTAGTAGGTGGGACAGACGCTTAAGCCGGCTAAGCTGACAGGAATCTAGTGAGACTCCCCACAGGGATAGATCGATCTGAAATCTATGGGAATGGGGTCTAAGTTTTGGCACGCCGTAAAAAAAAAAAAAAAAAACGTCAAAAAATGCTATATTAGCCTACATGTATGTGACATCTGACAGGACCCAGTATCTGGCAGTTTTGATACCTTTCAGTTTGTTTTTGATTTGATGATAATATCATAACTGTCTCACTTTAAACACTGGACATTTTCAGGACTGACGAATAATAATGTATCAAAAATCTACGCAAAATTTCAATTCAAAAGCTTGTGATCTGTTGACATAACTGAGCTTTGAAATAAGTAAGTTTTTTTAGACACCTTATTAAGATATACATATTTCAACAGTTAAACCAAAAGCAAAGGATCACTAAATAATGAATCCATTTCTGGCGCAAGATAACCACATATTCTTGCCACTTTAAATACTTTAAATGTGTTTGTGTTCAGTTTAATTCAAATGTGAAAAAAGAAAAAAACATTGCATGCTATGTAGATTGTTACTTCCTTTTTTCTTTTTTTTAAAGCAGTCTAAGCCAGGATTGGCCTTTATCAGAATGGGGAAAAACAATCACATTTACTGTCTGCTGCACAACCTAAGCTGTCTTTTATTTCTCTCTTAGTCTTAAACACATTTTAGGTGTAATTGAGCAACCCTGTTTGTGTAATATCTCTTGCAGGTATCTTTCCCATGATTGGAAATGCAGCTTCTGTGAGAAGAGGATATGTAAGATCTCTCTTTCTCTCATATAATTTATACTAACAGCTTTCCTTTAAAACAGAATAAATTTCAACAATGTAATGAATATTGGTTGTGAATTTTTGGATATATCATTTTTCTAGACAGCTTGGGTTTGAATAATTCTACAAAACAATTTTCTTTTGTTTTCTAAAAGTTTTCATTGTTTATTTGGAATTAAGGATGGCAAATAACTCCTTTTTCCTGTCACCTGATAATGCATTCTTCTTCTAGTCGCCACATGAATCCTGGTCAAGAGTTCCTGTCAATTGGCAGGAAGAGATGAAACGTCGTGTAAAACACATGGAAACCATCTGCCAAGAAACCAAACACTCCCTAGATGGCAGCACTGCCAGGGCAGCCTTTCCACCCAAGCTCTATGTGGATGACAAACACCGCTTACTCATGTGTGCCATGCCTAAAGTAGGCTGCTCCAATGGAAAGCTCATGCTAAATGCATTAACGGGAAACATTGATTTCAATTTCAGTATACGGAGTTCTTCTAAAGAGTACCTTCCTACCCTGAGTTGGTATTCACCCTTTGGAGCTAAATTACGACTGGCTACCTATTTAAAAGTTATTGTAGTGCGTCATCCACTGGAGCGCCTTGTTTCTGCCTACAGAGATAGACTGGTGAACATAAAAAGAAAAAATACGATGTTAATAGATGCTATTAAGAGGTTTGAAACTAGCCTGACGCGAGGACAAAAGCGTGTATCTTTTCAAGCTTTTATTAAGTATCTTATTTCTCTAGACCCCAACACTGATTATAACCACCATTGGGAAAACTATATCAGATTATGCGATCCATGTCGGATCCATTATGACGTCATTGCAAGACTGGAATCCCAAGGCACAGACTTAAATATGATTCTTAAGTTAATAGGCATGGATGACAAGTTGAGGTTTCCACAAAATAAACATCCTGCTTCTTCCTCTAAAGTCTGGAAGAACTATTTCACCAATATACCTCGAACCGATATCAGAAAAGTATGGCAGCATTATGAACTTGATGCTCGTATCTTTAATTTTACACTTGACTGGTATTGATGTATAAACTGGAAAAAAATGTTCATGTTTCATGTAAGTCATCATAAAAACAAACATGATGTTTTTAACCCATGGGACCAGTTTCACTTATCCCTTTTAGTTTTTACCAACACTCGAATTTGCCAAACAGTCACTTATATTTGATTAGGTCCAATGGTAAAAGGTCCAAGGATAATGTACAGCACTGCTACTATTGCGGTTTGCTGGATACATGTAACTGCAATTTTTCTTATTGTGATGAAAATCATTCAAAAGAGCATGCGTATCCTCTCTTGTACCTATTTTGTAATAATTCCGAAATTTCTACTAAAGTCACCAAGAACAAATATACACACTTCATATGAACCTTTGCCAAAACATGCCCAGACATACATTTAACACATGCTTCTCTTTTTTTTTAGCAAATATTTTACTATTTGACTCTCTTTCTTTCATAAAACAGATTACCACTGCTTTAAAAACCTAGGTTGAAGAAACCATGTAAAAAATATAGGTTGAAGATACCATGTAAATCCACATACATGATCTGGAGAAAATGGCCAAACTGGATCAATAAAGGGAAAAAAGGAAAAATGTTGATCTTTTCTTTGGTATGAATGTACCGATAGGTCACATCAAGTGATCAAGCCATTTTTGTGCAACAGTGACCATGAACTAAAGTTGAATCTTTTATTATGCATTAAATTGAATAAGAAAACCCCAGTGCCTAAACGTATATACACAGTATCAGAAATTGGTTTGAAATATGCACTAAAAATGTTAACAATCTGCACTGTGTCTAATGTGCCTCTCCAAACACAAGTGCAACAGTGGCATATATAGCATGCTCAGCTGTTACCTTGATTGGTTAGTGTTGAAAAACGGCCATTGGTCTACATGGTTCAACCCAACCCTGTGGGGATTCTCGCCGAGTGCAATCAGCTTAACACACCTCCTGGCTTTAGGTAGAATACAGAAAACTTGGTGACTATACAAAATTGTTGAAAATAAAAGTAGACCTGTCATTCAATTAAGATGATTGCACTAAGCGAGAATTCCTGCAGAGTTGGGTCAATTCAAGTAGACTGGGTCGACCTTATTTTCTTTCGTGAAAACTACATAAAAGACCCCCTGTTCTATACACTTGTCTGCTTATTCACTGCCCCCCCTTCCCCCCAGAATATGCATGTATATACAGTAGTCTTACTTGATCTGTGCCTCCGCCTGCATATAGATAAACTCCCATTTGCGTGAAAACATTTTCTGTAATCGGGCTAAGTTCTCTGCTTCATAGTCAGCCAGTTCAAGTCGTTGTTTGTTTTGCATTGTTCTCTTACACAAATATACAGCTGGAAATGTAATGGAAAAATTATTAGGATCTTTCTGTACTGAAACATTTTAAAAGACATTTCATTCAGTTATTTTCACTTAAAAATAGGATAATTTCCATAACTGGTACTTGTAAATGAACTTATTACTATTGCCTTTAGATAACACGTGTAACTAACACTGTCCAACTTTGCTGTATCAACAAGCAAAATGATCACTTTTACATTACTGGCAATTTTATAACAATTATAGTATCAGAACCTAACAACCAGTATCAGAACCTAACAACCAGAACCTAACAATTATACCTCTGGTATTTGTGTCCACATGGCACAAAGGAAAACAATCAAAAGCACATTTACAAGTGTATCACCAAATTATTGCTTCTCACCATAATCTGTGTTTTCAGGCTCTCCACTTCTGGATGGCCAAAAACATGGAGTCTAAAAAGTAAGAAATTGTATAAATCAGTGATATGTCACATGCACCATCAGGTTGCAGTCATATATGTAACTCATATACAGGTACTAGTATATAGGTACATGTATACAGAACATGTCCTTATTACATATACATGTATGCTCTACATGTAAGTACTCTTGGAGTGATCACAATCTCTCTCTCTCTCTCTCTCTCTCTCTCTCTCTCTCTCTCTCTCTCTCTCTCTCACACACACACACACACACACACACACACACACACACACACATGCAAACAAATGCATACACACACACACACAAGATTCCACATTATCACACTCAATTAGTCACTGACAAACTTTAAATTACATTGATCTGTAACCCAATTTATTGAAACCGTGAAAACTTTGTTTTTCATTTTAATATTGCCGACATATCTCCATTCCAAAGAGAGAAGGAACTCACTTGAAACCTGTAATATGTGTTGTCATTTTTCACTGATAGTATGTGATCATCAATAGGAAACATATACCCATGGGATGCCATTAAGTTGGCCATGTGAAGAGCTTCAGCTGGAAAAGTATGACTAAATTAATATTAAAACACATACACATAATAAGATGATGATGATGATAATTAACAATGTATTACATTTTATATCACTGTGAAACATTTTTCAGCAACAAAAAAAGTAATAACTTGTAACTTTATGATTATAAGCCAATTTGGTTCACAATTCTACAGAAGAATGAAGTAAGTATTTGAGAATAAACTCAATGTCATTTTTTTCAAATTTGTGGGTTTATTGAAAATTGCTCGAAAACATTTCCTTCTTTTCCCTTAGCAAAATGAAAAGTTTGCAGCAATATTGCAGCAATAGTGCAGTAATAAGTTTGCAAGAAATTTTATTGCTGCTAATTTGCAGCTATAATGCAGCAAATCTGAAAGAAGGAATTGCAGTTTGCAGCAATATTGCAGCAAATTGTTGCAAATTTGCTGCAAATTTCCAGCAGGCCTGATATTTTGGTAAAGGTTATCATACTGCTGGGCCAAATGATTTCTAGTACGAATAGAAGTATATAGAGTTCAATGCATATATAAATGCTACAGCGTACCAAATGTGTTTCAGAGGGGCAAGATTCTATTAATATAAGTGTTTATTTTATCACCATTTTCAACAAAGCCTTAAAGTAAACTTACAAAACTCAGTAAATGTCTACTAAAAAATCACCTGCAAATTAAAGTGCAAACAATAATGCATATTTTGGAAGACAACCACACATTGTATGCAATGTAAGGTATTTAATTCAATGATGCTGGGGTGCACAAAAGAAACACATTTTTATGTTGTATTTACTTTGGTCATCCACATCCAGGTTTCTCATCATCCAGCTAATGAGGTCAGCTCCTAAAGAGACAAAATGAAATGGAAATATAATATACTAGTTTGTACACACTCTTTATACACAGATTCATTTGTCAAAATTCTTTAAAACTCAAACAAGATCTTTATTTCGCAATAATTGTATTGGAAATATTCCAAAGATTTCAAGAAATGACACCAAAATAATTTTTAAAAACTTTCAAGTTATGACATGTTTACAAATGCACATATAGCTATAACAATACTAACAAACATATGACCGTGGTAATAATCTACAAAGAATACAAAATTTCTTAAGGCAGAGATAGGATAGATAGTGCTGATAAAATAAATATGCCTCCCCCATAAGAAGTCAATCAAACTATTTATAGCAACTTCTATCATTCCATGGACCATCAGTCAGAAAAAGATGACTGAAATCATACTTCTTTGCTTTTAATGACAAAAAAGGCAACACAAATATGTTCATAGTTATACCTGTTAGTGAGTACTCAAATAAAAGTAAACATCAGAAACTGTGGGTACTTTCTGAGCCTGAATGTGCTTTATTAGTGCATCAAAGAAAAACTCTTTCAGACATATAAAAAATCATTAGCCAAACATTCTATGTCTGTGTACTTATTGGGTCAATATAATAAAGTACTTAAAAATATATGGGATGTTTATATAAGAACAGTATGTCCATAGAAATAAATTTGTTATCCTTGTTAACGCTGTTGATGCCTTACTTGTTAGTGAGAATAATCATTGTCTAATTTTCAGAAAAAACACAAGTGTTTCTGTTGGTATTGTCACTTGCACGTGCAGTGAAAAAAAAAGCTCCTTGTTTCAAGTATGAATCACAATATTGAACTGCCATAAAGTGTTTTTATTGAAATCAGACAGATTTTTGTACTTATAATTTAACATCACTTACTCACCTAAATCTTTCATGCACTACCAGCAGATTGCTGGAAGCATATATATATATATATATATATGGAAAATTCCAACAAGTACATAAAATCCTACATTGTAGTTTATTTTTTAACATTGTTCTTAGTCATAACATATGCACCAACCTGCCTTTTTGAGTCCTATAAAATGCATTTATTTAAAGAAAATATTGTAAAATGGGTTTCAGCGTGTAGAAATCTACATTCAATTTACCAGTCAATGAAATAAACAGGTGAAAATTTTTGAGAAAATAACCGGCTATACACTTCACTCACTCAGGTGGACTAATGCTGGGTTGGTGGCTACAGATAAACTGACTGAATATGTCTAAAAGAATAGGTTTTTTAATTGTAAGCTTATTATTATTATTATTTTTTTTGTATACACATATGTTGTTTCCAACAAAGCTAATTTTAGTGAGGTCATGATCATGTAATGCAGGTGGAAGGGTAGTCGTCCAAGGGTCTTTGAGCAACATGTGGCTGCTTTGGTCAACACAGGTGTGAAGAAAAAAAATGCCACTTGAAATAACTCAACAACTTGACATAATTGGTAATTTGTGTATACCGTGTCATAGCTCTGGACAGAGTGAGAGACGGACAGTTCAGAGTTTGGAGATTTCATATACAACATGTTTGAGCTTCAACAAATCAAAATGTATCATTGCATGGTCATTATGTGTACTTGTTTTCTTTGTGCGACCTTTGTTAAATCTGTCATGAACTGCCAAATCTTCAGGTTGGGCTAAGTTTGTTTAAAATGTAATGCTTTATTTTGAGCTCAAGCTTTTAAGCTTTTAAAAATTAAGCTTCACTAAATTTAGAGAAATTGAGGACACAGATTAAATTTTAGGTTCATTACATATTGTGAAAACACTCTACAGCATTGAGCTGTCTCCAAGACCTGAAGCACCTCTTTAAAAAAATTACACCATTTGCAAACTTTTTCACAAATAAATACCACATACGTTTCCAAGAAAAAAATAATTCCATCGTTCAAATAGATTATGCTTTTAATCTAAATCTAGCTCAATTAACTTTCAATGTTTGTAAACATAAAGCTTTTATCATTCCGTCTTCACCTTATGGCAAGAATGTTCGTCGCCTTCATNTATTGAACTGCCATAAAGTGTTTTTATTGAAATCAGACAGATTTTTGTACTTATAATTTAACATCACTTACTCACCTAAATCTTTCATGCACTACCAGCAGATTGCTGGAAGCATATATATATATATATATATATATATATATATATATATATATATATATATATATATATATATATATATATACTGTATATATATATATATATATATATATATATATATATATATATATATATATATATATATATATATGGAAAATTCCAACAAGTATATAAAATCCTACATTGTAGTTTATTTTTTAACATTGTTCTTAGTCATAACATATGCACCAACCTGCCTTTTTGAGTCCTATAAAATGCATTTATTTAAAGAAAATATTGTTAAATGGATTTCAACATGTAGAAATCTACATTCAATTTACCAGTCAATGAAATAAACAGGTGAAAATTTTTGAGAAAATAACCAGCTATACACTTCACTCACTCAGGTGGACTAATGCTGGGTTGGTGGCTACAGATAAAACTGACTGAATATGTCTAAAAGAATAGGTTTCCTTATTGTAAGCTTAAATTTTATTTTGTATACACATATGTCGTTTCCAACAAAGCTAATTTTAGTGAGGTCATGATTATGTAATGCAGGTGGAAGGGTAGTCGTCCAAGGGTCTTTGAGCAACATGTTGCTGCTTTGGTCAACACAGGTGTGAAGAAAAAAAATGCCACTTGAAATAACTCAACAACTTGATATAATTGGTAATTTGTGTATACCGTGTCATAGCTCTGGACAGAGTGAGAGACGGACAGTTCAGAGTTTGGAGATTTCATATACAACATGTTTGAGCTTCAACAAATCAAAATGTATCATTGCATGGTCATTATGTGTACTTGTTTTCTTTGTGCGACCTTCGTTAAATCTGTCATGAACTGCCAAATCTTCAGGTTGGGCTAAGTTTGTTTAAAATGTAATGCTTTATTTTGAGCTCAAGCTTTTAAGCTTTTAAAAATTAAGCTTCACTAAATTTAGAGAAATTGAGGACACAGATTAAATTTTAGGTTCATTACATATTGTGAAAACACTCTACAGCATTGAGCTGTCTCCAAGACCTGAAGCACCTCTTTAAAAAAATTACACCATTTGCAAACTTTTTCACAAATAAATACCACATACGTTTCCAAGAAAAAAATAATTCCATCGTTCAAATAGATTATGCTTTTAATCTAAATCTAGCTCAATTAACTTTCAATGTTTGTAAACATAAAGCTTTTATCATTCCGTCTTCACCTTTTGGCAAGAATGTTCGTCGCCTTCATAAAGGTAAGTGTCTATAATAATATTGGCCTTCCCACGGTTGAAAACATCTGAGTGCTACTACATGTGCTGAACCTTAAAGTGGACTAGCGCCACTGAAAATGTCATTCACCAGTGTGATGCCACACAGTAAGAACATACAGATGTGGAGAAACTGGTTAACCCACTAATAACTTCAACTACATAAACAGTCAAGTTCCTTGTGTAAACATAGACTATTTCCACTGGAAAGGATGTCTTAAAAAACTCCATAATTTTACCTGGCTGAACAAAAAATAGAGTTTACCTTTATAATGTTGTTATTTGATAACATTTTTTTTTATAAAAGCAATGGTGAGATAAAAATAGTTGCATGACCACTTCCCTTCACCCACGACTATTAAATCTTCGAAACAGCATGCTGTTATAGAAATGCAGACAGTTGGCCAATTTGCCTTCAACCTTACCTTCCTTTTAATGCCTCTGCAGACCCAAGAGCATAAAATTTGTACTCAATAAGATAAACCATTATTTTATGACAGTTTTGAAGAAATGTTTCGCTGTGGAACCTTCACCATTTCCAGTCAATTTTGACTTCTTTAATTTCTACTTTTTTTTCATGTAAGGCACAGTATGAAAATAAGGCAATCATTTGCCTCATCACTTTTCAGTTGGCCCTGACAACAACATGGAGAATTATACAACTGAGGATACTCTTGCTTGTCATTATGGCAACAGCTTTCAAGAATATGACCTAACCAATTTGTTTCCATCACCTTAAATCCAATTGTGGTCAATGCTCGCCAAAAAAAGTGGCTCACAATGGCGAAACTTTACATTATTTATGGTCCAATTCCACTTTGGTGATACTAGTGAGAGTAAAGCACTTAAATGCTCTTACACTCCTTCAGCAAACAAGTCACATGGGTGAAATGAAAAAGGCTTACAGG